GAACTCGAGTTCAAGTTGCTCGAGCTATTTTATTTGTTTATTTGTATCTTCTGGTCCTTTTTTATATCTATCTTCCCTTTTCTTGCTAGTTTTCAGTCTTCATATTCTGCATGGATCCAGTTACAACGTATGCAATACTTTTCCATCTCTCTGAACCAGTGAATCAAATCATTCTTGATGATGCTAAGGAAATTCTCTATTCCCCATTAATCTGGTGTTCCTCAGCCAGTGGCAAGTTCAATCTTGTTTTTTTGCATGTCCCTGAAATCTTTGGCAGGCTGAAAAACGTTTAAAATCATGCAGTTTTAAACTACCAATAACAATAATTTACCAGACGGCATAATGGTGTGGCAAGGCAAGTCATTATCCAAACGAAAAAGTGGCAGCAACAAAGACAAGAAAGCATTAACAAAGATTTTGATTTCCGTTGTTGGACTTGTCGAAAATAAAATATCAGCGTTCACCAGCCACCGTCCATTCACATGACATGTCAAGAAAATAGCAGTTTCTGTCTTATTTACCAAACCAAGTCCAAGTCCCGGGATGTCCCTCCACTGGACCTTCTCTTTATTTTCTTCTTGTTGGAGCATAAGAATATTCTTCAATTCTTTAAAAGTTAAAACCCTCTCCAGCAAATATAAAGACAGAAAGAAAGAAAGAAATACAACTTTGTCTCTGTTACCCCCCCCCCCCCCCAAAAAAAAAAAAAACACCCAAGAAAAAAAAACATTAATTTATAGAACTTGAAGAGGGATAAATTCCTGTTAGTAATCTCTAGCTAAATATTGGATTTTCTGCCAAAGAAGATGAAAGAGAAAATTAATTTCTCACTTGCCAAAATAAAGCTAAAATAACAATAGTTTTGTAGTTGTATTCAAGAAAATTGACAAATAACAAAAATGTAGTTAGGGTCATGAAAATTAATATTCATTAATTTAATCTTGATTATTTTAAAACAATTTTCTTGGGATTTGACCGTTTCTCCGATACTGAATTCTGAATTGCAAGCCTAAACTTAGCAATTTTATTAGATGGGAATAACATGTAAAGGTTTTTGTATCATTTTTACTAACTCAAGCACTAAGACAAACTACTTTTTTCCTTTGTTTTTGTTTCGACTAAATGTATTTTCTCACAATAAAATGACTTTTACTAATAAAAGTTGTAGCTATGCTGTATTTCAAAGATAAAAAGAAAGAATTATGGCCCATGTCATGATTTTCTCTAGAATGGTTGGTAGTTTCTTGTGGAAAGTTTATGATAATTAAAACCAAAAGTATAACATAATGATTCTTCTTAGCGATAAGCATTACATTAGTCCACAGCAGACACACTATGTCTTCATGCTATTAATGAAAAGGGAGCGGTGGGCGAGCTATTACATCGAACCTGCACTCAATTATTGGAGGAAAGAGTTGTTGAAATGGATTTGTAGAATCTATTGTTTGCTGATCAAAATTCTGGCCAAGTATTAACAGAAATTTACTAATAGATAGAAGATAATTTTGAGATTTTGTTTGACTAATACAGCTGATTGCTTGATTACTTGAAGGAAATACTTCATTTTTAGTTCATTAAAAAAAAGAATCAACTTACTTTTTTTTTTTGTTTTTAATGAAGGCAAAAGGAATTGAACATAAATAATAACAAAGATTTACTTAAAGAATATTTGAATATCGTCATCCCTTAGTTTGGCTTACCTTTTTCAACCATCGAAATTATAATCTTAATCTTTCTTTTAGCGTGCAAATAAAAATATATAAAACATCATCTTGTTTCATATATATATATATATATATATATATATATATATATATATATATATATATATATATATATATATATATATTTCCTTTTTACCACAATTAGAGATCAGAAACTCTCAAAGATATTATGATAGTAAAATTGGTGAACAGATTTGCATAAATGCCCTTTTTTTGGCAGCCTTATGTTTTATTAACAAACTTAAAATTAGGAGGAGGATGTATGCCTAGCCTCCAACAAATGAATAATAGTAATTACATTAATAAGGAGTATTACTTCCTTACAATTATAACAAATCAATCTTCTAACATTCAGCAAACTAATGCTAAAAAACATTAATAATAAATAATCTCAACATGCTCCACAGTTATGGTCGAAGTATATAAATGCCCTTCATGTTATCTGAGTAAATTTATTTGGCTTTGGTCTTGAGAAAAGAAAAATGAAATTCCTCAAAACTCCAAAGGGTGCCAAATTTCCTATTTTGGTGTTATTACAAAACAAGAAAACTCCTCAAAGCCCAAAAAAAATCCCCATGTCCAAATACAATATATATATATTTATATATATATACACAAATACAGCGGCGGATTTACATTGGGGCACTGGGGGCCCTTAAATTTCTATGATACCTATAAAAATTTGATGTAATTTCAACTGTGCCCTCTAGAGTTTTTGTGTATCTATTGGTTTATAGGCCCCCACTGCCCCCTTAAATTTCTATAATACATATAAAAATTTGATATAATTTTAAGTGTGCCCCTTGGAGTTTTGTGTATCTATTGGTTTATATACTTTTAAAGTTGTCTTTGATTTTACCTGTTGTTACAGTTACCTTAGAAAGGGTTTTTTCAATAATGAATATAGTGAAGAATCGGTTACAAAATAAAATGGAAGATATTTAGATGAATAATTGTTTAGTTACTTATATTGATAAAAATATACTTTGTGAAGTTCAAATGAAAAGGTTGTAAACCGTTATCAAAATATGAAAACTCGTTATGAGCAATTGTAAATGGTTTAGTTTGCTTTTGAAATAAAATTATTATTATATTAATAATTTTGAGTTTGTTTTTTGATGTTTTTTTCATAAAATATATGCATCATTTGTACTTGTTGATGAATATTTTTTCCTTGAAAAACTAAAAAAAGAGCAAGTAAACAATTTTAGAGTTGCTTTTGCCTCCACTGAAAATTTTTTCTGGCTTCACCACTGCACACATACATAAATATATATATATATATATATATATTACGAACATGCAGGCCCTTCCAACGGTATAAAGTATCCTATGTGATAGATAGGTCTACATAATAAATATCCTGTTTGTTTCCCATATAGAAAATTGGAATTTTGTTCTGCTTGGTGCCCATCTATTTGTACTTTTTTGTAAATTCAAATATAATAATCTGCTGATCTATTATGTTGTTGAAATTTCTTTTTCAACTTAAATTCATAATAAAAAGGAAGAGTTATATAATCACATTTCCGATCTATTTTTAGCCAAGTAAATGCCTTACTGTCATTATCCCTTGAAAGTTCGATTGAGATGGATCCATATCACTATTCATGATTTTGATGTTTGGGGAATGAAATGAAATATGATGGTATCAAGATTCAAGCTATGGGAGGAATCACGAGAAGAATTAAACAGCCTTTGTTTATTGTACATTGTATATTGATTTCTCCATTGTTGTCGGGGGTATCTTATACCTTTGTTTAGCATCCAATGTTGCCTAGTTGATTACCATAATTGGCGTGATTGCTTGATGAGTTTGTTTCCTGTCTCCTAAAAGTGGGCAATTATTTTAATCCATGGCCTAAGCTCCATCACCTTTTTTGTTTTTAAAATTTTCCTGCATTCTTATCATTTTTATTTTTGTGACTTTTTCTAAAGGAAAGTTGTTCTTGCTCTCACGTGTCCTTTTTCATCGTCTATTGTAAAATCACGTAGATACTAAAATTGGAACACTTTTCATTTTATTTCATCAATTTTTTATAAGAACTCATAAGTCAAGTTTAAATTCAAATTAATTATTTTGACTGTACTCAAATTCATTTGTAGAAATACCACTTTTTAAATCTCTGCATTGAGTTAGGAGACAACCCCCTTCCTTTTTTTTTTTTTTTTGGAAAGAAAAACTACTAAATTATATGTGGCATTCCCTAAGGAGGGGGAGCGAACCGCTCGAGTTACCCCGTGGGGGCAAAGACCAGCCACGTAAGGTGGCAAGTTGTGGGAGGCAGGGGTTGAACCCCTGACCTCCAGCATCCCAAAGAAAGGGATGACCACTGGACCAAATGGCCAGTGGCAAATTATATGTGGCATTCCCTTACTACATTTAGAAGAAGATGAAAAAGGAAAAGAGAAAAGAAGGTACTATGAGTTATTACTACAAATATTATAAGAAGTGAACGTCCTTTGTATATGCAATCAAAAAATATTTGCCCCAAGCTGCATATTAGCCATTAATATCATAAAATTTTTTTCATAATTCAAGGTGTCTCGACTAATTTGATTGTGCAAGACTAATAATTAAAAAAAAAACTTGTATAGATTTTATTTTGTAACACGGCCTTTCCTAATGCCTTTCTTTTTAAATTTTTTGTTGGATAATATTAAACATAATCTATCGGTAGTCAAATGTTTCGTCATTACACAATAACAAATAAAAATATGACAATAAACTAAAATACTTTATCAGACATAAATGAAGTCATTGGGCATGCTTGCATGCATGCCCATTAACTAACTCATATTACGTAAAAATCTCAAAATTAATTCAAATCGAACATTTTCTTGCCAGGAATTTTTATTGAAAACTTCATAAAATTTGAAGTAAAAACCAAAAATAATTAAATTATTTTAGTTACTTTAGTCAACTCCATTTGTCACAATAAATTATAAATAATTGACTAATAATGCACACAGCCAGCGTACAACTGGCTGCAATGCCATACCCCACTCCCTGTTCTCTTCCTCTTTAACCCAGCAGCCCTAAGGTTATTAACGTCATTTTACTTGAATTATTCCCCACCCATTTGTCCCTTCTCCTTCTCATCCTGTCACTCTTTCGTCCCTTCGCTTCTCAAATTACCAAAATTACCCCTACCTTTTTTCCCTTTTTACCTCTGGCGGGTTTTCAACGTCTAATTCCTACTCCTGAGATTTTTTTTTCCTTCCACCTTTCGCCATCCTCTCCGGTCGGCTTCCTGAGTAAAAGTGACCACTTTCTCTCTCACGCACTCACACACTATCTCTTTCTCTCTCTACCTACATATATGCTCACATATTCAGCTGAGAGATAGAGAGAGGGATACACACTCACTCGCTCTTTCTCTCCTTGTATGCAGATGCACACCCACTCCGAGGTGATACAGTCACTTTCTCTCTCTACACGGAGAGAATGAATGTGGATGAATGAGCAGCATTGATTGGAAGCCAAGCTTTTTAAAGGTATTTATTCAACTATTCTTTTATGGTTTGAAGAGTGATGAAGAATGATGAATGGAGGCAATTGCGATGATGGAATTATTTGTGAATTAACAAATTGAAGATTTTCAGGCTCATTCTCGGAGATCTCTGCTCGAATTCAGCTCAGCTGATCGGTTCGGATTGAAGTGAAGAACGGCGAAGAGATGAAGTCGACTACTAGGCTTGACTCGGCTGTATTTCACCTCACTCCTACTCGAACTAGGTGAAGGTTTTTGCTTTTTGGTCAGAAGTTTCGAAATTTTTATTTGCATGAGCTTATTTCCTTTTGATGGGTATTTGATTGGATGACGTGGAATAAAGAATTTTTGCTGATGAGTTATTAACTTTTTTGGTCTGTTATTGTTTGGAAAATTTCGGCATGTATTTGCAATGATTTTCCAGAACTAAATGAATACGTACAGGCTAAGGATTCCTCAAATTTGAGTTATTTTTTGCCCAATATATAGTATATGCCTCAATAGTGTGTTTTTTTGACCCCTCCTTTGTGTAAAGCTTTTAAAATTTGGTCCGATTAATTCGGTTTTTTACCGATATTATTGCATTATGAAACAATGCATAATTCCTTGAACTTTTAAGTCTTTTCTTCATCTTTTGATTCATGTGAATGAAAATGCTTGTAAAATAAAAAAAAGAATGATATTAAGTATTTCTGGTGATTTTGATTGAGAAAAGTTCTTAATTTGGTTTGTAAACTATTGGTGAAACGAAAATGTAACAGCTTTATTAATTCCCAGCGGCCTCCATATTGAGATGAGACAAAGCTACCTCTCAGGAGAGGTTGCACCTGACTTTTTCTGGTTGGTCAATGAGAGTCAATATTACTGTCTAGCTAAATTTGTGACTCATTCACTTTGGGGACATTATTTCATTTACCTTTTGTTCTTTTACAACTAGAGAGCAGGAATCTTAACGATTTTTAATTAGTAAAGAGAACGAAGAACAAAAGCAAACAGTGTAAGCTGGTTTGTAGTTTCTTGTTCTGCTGCATTCTTCAGGCTGCAGCAAAGCTCCTATTCATTAGTCAATGCTATGTTATTGCTCCTATAATTTCTATTGTGCCTACTTTTATTTGTATTTTGCTGTCATGTACTTTTCAATACTGATAACTTGTTGCAGTAAAGACATGAGGTAGCTAAATTGTGACTTTTGACAGTTTCTGTTGCAATTAACTGCTTTTATCAGGTGTGATTTGTTTATTATTGCGAATGGAAAGAAGGAGAAAATTGCTTCAGGTTTATTAAATCCGTTTCTTGCCCACTTGAAGACTGCACGAGATCAGATTGAGAAGGGTGGTTATTCTATTGTGCTTGAACCAGAGCCGCAAACTGATGCATCATGGTTTACCAAAGGAACAGTGGAAAGGTTTATATCAGTATCTGATAATATCTCGGGAGTTTTCTATTTTACAAATTGCTGGCATAACAGTGATGTCTACTAACATGACTTGTACTTTTTGTCTTTTCGCTTGAACTACTCTTCCTGTCCTGCTGCCTTTTGGCTGTGAACGAATATTGTGTCATGATACAACTAACTTGCAATTGATGATACAAATGTTACTTATGAGATTAGAATTTGGGTAGGGATAAAACGATTGTATAGGTCTTTTATCCGATTGGGGTGAACTTTATTCAGGCTGGTGCTTTCAGTTACTAAAGAAACTGTTTTTGACTGATGCTTTCTCTGCTTCTGCAAAATATTCGGTGTGGAAAAAGAAGTTTGATGCGGCAAATAAATTTACTGCAAGCTTTTCAGTTTTATTGTAACCCAACAAATTACCAAACCTGTTAGGCCATTATCTTTGATGCTAGCTTATGTCGCGATCCTTGCATATGAATAGGATCATTAAGTAAAATTGAATGGTATTATTATCTCTTCACAGGGCACGAAGTTGTGTCATTCTTGGGCCTTGTTGCTTGGAAGGATCCAAGATTTCCATTTTTTGTTTTAGTACTGCAGAACTAAGATGTCTTTATGTTTGAGTTGTAAGAACCTTTTTTTTTTTTTTCCCAGAAGTGATTTCATGTTACCTAACAAGATAAAGCCATTCCTCTTGGTATGGTGGTATCTGCATTCTGTATTAGCTACTTGCTCGTGTAGATAATTTTAATGCTGATGAAGCTGTATATACTCGTGGATCTAACCTCAATCTTCAGTTTTCAGTTATTCAAATTCTCATTCTGATTTAATCCAAAGAGAAATCATCCCTGCTTAGTTGAAAATTGACAATACTAGCATAGATGGTTGTTAATGTACTGAGACAAGCAAGGAAAACAGCATCTCTGTTAACGTCTCTCTTACTACTGCAACAGTACTAATATCAATCACATAGTGGAAATGATATTTGTTGCTTTAAAATAGGTTTGTTCGTTTTGTGAGCACTCCTGAGATCTTGGAAAGGGTGCATACTGTAGAGTCTGAGATCTTACAGATTGAGGAAGCAATCACCCTCCAAGGAAGCAATGATGCAGGGCAGAAAATGGTAAGCATCTTCAATTAGAATGTCCTGTCTTCTGGCCATCAATTAGTTTATTCATGTTGTTGTGTGTTTTGTAGGTTGAAGACCACGAAGTGAAGCCTTTAAAAGCTAATGAAGGTATTGCCTGAGGACAATAACATATTCCATGTGTTTGTATGTAATTGATAGTCCATTTCCCGTTTCGCCTTTTCTTTGCATCTTGGATCATTTGGTTTTGTATGCAGTTTGCATCAGCGGTTCTAAATTCATATTTTTGGTTTCTTTCTTGTCCTTTTGTATAGTGATTTTGGTCTTGTACCATTGACTAATAGTTGATAGGACAAGGCATTGATTTGCATGTCTAAAATTTTGACAGGTTCCAAAAGCAGTCCAGACCTAAATGATGAGAAAGCAATTGTCTTATACAAGGTACTTGTCATTTGCCACTTACACCAAATCCACCATATGTTGTATCTCTAAATCATAACCATTGTGTTTCTGGCAGCCTGAGGCAACTCAAGCTCAAACAAGCGGTGAATACACGCAGGATGGAAATTCAAAGTATGTCTACTGAAAATTACATGACTGAATTGCATAAGTATATATCAAATAATGTTTACATGTTGTGCAAATATTAGTCGTGGGACTTCTCGATCAGGTTAGATTGAACTTAATCCAGTACCTATGCTGCATTATTCTGGTATGTGATTATTTGGAAGTAAAGAGAAATTTTGTCAGGTCGTGGAACATATACTGCTAATTAAAGTCCTGAAATAAGTGCGTGGCTTTCTGACATTAAAAGAAAAGCTATAAATTTCTTTGGATGGATCTATTGATTTTTAAGTTAATCTCTTCACAGAGTTGAGCTTTGTTTTCAATATTTAATCACATTTTTGCATATCTCTCAGAATAACGTGCCGGGGATGAAAAGATCTATTATGTGCTTTAGTCTTACTGTAGTCAATTTTCTTGTTCAACAGAGTCCAGCTTCTGAAAGTCCTAGAGACACGCAAACAAGTGCTGCGCAAAGAACAGGGTATGGCTTTTGCTCGTGCGGTGGCTGCTGGTTTTGATGTTGATGACATGGCACCACTTGCATCATTTGCTGAATGCTTTGGTGCTTCACGATTAAAGTAAGCAATTTTTGTCTCATTCTTTCTGTTCCCTCGCCTTCTGCATTATCATTCTTCTGGTTTTTTAGTTATGGCATGTCATTAATAGGACATTGACTGTCAAAGGGCTATGTTCCCAATTATTATATTCCAGCAGCATCTGGTCTTTAGAGTTGATTATTCTGGTATTATGCTAATTCTGCGCCAGGGATGCATCCTCAAAATTCATTAATCTGTGGAAGAAAAAGCATGAGACTGGGCAGTGGGTAGAAATTGAAGCAACAGAAGCATTGTCTGGCCGATCGGACTTTTCTGCCATGAATGCCTCTGGTATTGTGCTTTCCAGTATGGGTAACAAACAGAATGACTTCAATAATGAGTCAGCTTCCGAAAATAATGAGAAATCGGGTGTAGATATCAATTCGGGTAAATGTTCAATCTTGGTCCCTATCTAGACGTTTCATCTCGCTCTTTTACCTGTTGCTGTGATTCTGTTTGGTATTTTAACTGTTAAACCAAATGGCAATTGTCTGTGAATTATCTAGCAGCAAAAAAATCTCTTTTTTTTTTCTTTGTATTTCATTAGTTTGCACACTTTTTTAACTCGATTGGGATGTTATTTACTGCTTTCGCCTCGAAGTTGTTGCCGAATTCAAAGTAGTTCTATTTTTCGTTCACAATTAAATGACATTCACGTTTATTTGGTCCCTAGGTGAAAAACCTCCAATGAATCACCAGCCTTCATTCAGTCAACAAGATTATTTTCAAGGCCAATTTCCGCATCCAATGTATCCACCTTGGCCTATGCATTCTGCAAATGGTTCCATGCCAATGTTTCCGCCATATCCTGTGCAGGGGATGCCCTATTATCAGGCTTTTCCGGGTGGTGTTCCTTTTTACCAGCCACCTTATCCACCTATGGAGGATACTCGATTCAGTGCTAGTCCTAAGAATAGACAGAAAAGGCAGTCTATGGATGATAGAGATGACAATTATGAATCCGAAATTTCAGACATGGACACCAAATCAAGGTTGCAGGAGAGTGGAGACTTGGATAAGGAAGGTTCACAGCATCTTCAATCACGGAAGAAAGATGGACGATCTGGTAAAAAGCAGTCAGGTGTTGTTGTCATCCGAAACATTAATTACATAACCTCTGAAGCAAAGAACTCTACTGGCGATGGTTCAGAATCAGAAGCTGATTCTGAAAGTGGTATAGATGATGAAGATTATCAGGCTGACAATATTGGTGCATATTGTACCAAAACTTCAAGGTCATCAAAAAGAAAAGGGGATCATTCCAAGTCAAAAGCTGAACCAATTGACAATAAAGAAGAGAGTATATTTGAAAAGGATACTGATGGTGGGCACTGGGCAGCATTTCAAAATTTTCTGTTGAAAGGTGCTGATGAAGAAAATCATACTTCCAATGAAGGCATGTTTGCAAAGGAAAATGCTGGCAAGGCGCGAAGACGACAAAATACTGTTATTGATGATCCTTCGGGTCTTGTTGGGAGAGATTCAAATGAAATACTAGATAGGAGAATGACTTCAGTCCATGAAGGTAATGGATATAGAACTCGCATTGGCAGAGGATCAAATGATGAAGGTGTGCTTTCCAGAGGAGGATATAACGATGCAAGGGGACCCGATGATCCAATGGATATGCAATATGCAGAGACAAAAGGAAGAAGGTTCATCTCTAGGACTTCAAATGATGATTTTATGGTTGGCAGAAGAGAAAAGCTTTCAGAACGACACAATTCTTCAGATCCATTAGCAGTTAATGAATTTGAACATGTGAACAGTAAGTTGCATGGAGAGTCATCCTGTGGTATCAGAGATGAGTCTTTCATAGTACCATTCAGGTCAATGGCATTAAATCAAGCTGTACCAGAGGGTAGAACTGCTATTGATATGGATTCTGAGCTTCCATCTTCTTATCAAAATTCTGAGAACCTTTCTAGTGGTATTAGGAAAACAGTCAGCTATGAGCCAGATGACATGAGCCTGATACCAGAACGTGGCACAGAGAAAAGGTCTGTTGGATATGATCCTGCTTTGGACTATGAAATGCAGGTCTCCAAGGAAGGTACTGCTACACTGAATAAAGGTGCAAAGGCAGCTTTGAATAACGTCAAGGCAACTACTAAAAAATCAGAGAAAACCCGGAGCTCTAAAGGTACTTCAGGAACTTTAGATAAGGAAAGGACTGGAGGACCTATAAGAAAAGGAAAACCATCAAAGACAAGTCCTTTAGAGGATGCACGGGCACGTGCTGAGAGGATACGTGCCTTCAAGGCTGATATCCAGAAAATGAAGAAAGAGAAGGTACAATTGATTCTGATTGACAGGATACTGTTAAGTATCAAATTCAAGGTCGAGATAGGTGTAAATAGTTGTTACTGATCTTGTTGAGCCATCTATTCAAGTTTGCACTTGCAGTATTTTAAGGAAGTTAACAAAACAACTGGAGAGTAACGATGTATCTAAAGATTAATTTTACAATTGTCTTATGAAAATGGCAATGTGGCAGATAAAATTCTTGCTCTGTGTTTGAAACACAGTTTCTAATATGAAGACCATGTACTCTCCAAGTGGCTGGTTAAGTTCATGTATCAGTGACTTTTTCTGTTTGCCTGTACCTGAAAGCTTATGCTACTCTCCTTCATTTTTTTTTCTACAATACATTTAATAGCTTTGCAGACTTTTGTTTTATTAGAGTTTAACATATGTATCTTGACAGGAGGAGGCAGACTTAAAGCGGCTTGAAGCTCTAAAGTTGGATAGGCAGAAAAGGATTGCTGCAAGATGCGGCTCTACCTCTGCTGGTTCAACAGCACCATCACTGCAAACAAGAAAACTGCCAACCAAACTTTCTCCTATCTCTCATAGAGGATCCAAGTTCAGTGATTCAGAGCCTGGGTCATCGTCACCTTTGCAGAGATCAAAAGTCAGAACGTCTCTTGTATCCAATGAGTCTCGTAAAGCCTCCAAATCCAGTAAACTAAGTGAAGGCGGTCTCTTTCCTGGAAATAGATTGACAAGATCAGCCTCATCATTGTCTGACCCAAAGAAAGATAGCAGTGGGGTTACTCCTGAATCAAAGACTTCCATGGCCCGGATTAGAAGATTATCAGAGCCAAAAACTGTTGGCAACCATTCTTTAACTTCAACAAAGGTACAAAGTGCTGAGAGAGTATCAAAGCTGAAATTATCTGATGAGCCTGACAGCACAAAAATGTCTGCTATTATGAACCTTGACAAAAGAAAGGCTGCAACTCTTCCTGAACTTAAGCTGAAAACAACCAAGGGGCCGTCCAATGTTGTCAACAAGAAGTTGCTACTTCCTAAGGAAACAAGGAACATAGATGAGGCCAAGCCTTCAGCAACTTCTGGAAGTTCTGAGTTTTTTGTGAGCAATGTCACATTATCTCAGCATACGGAAGCAGATGATTACCCAATTGTCGAGAAAAATGTTGTTCTTGAAAATGACAAGCCTTCTCTTCCTGTTCTAAATGCTTCTGGAGCAAAAATTGAGATTTCTCAGTTTGAAAGTCCTGGCATGCTGGATCAATCTGAAAGAGTATCCAATCATGCTGCAATACGTGCACCACCATCCCCCAGCAACATGGTTGATGAAGCTCTCATACCTGGTCCATTGCAAAGGCAATCCAATTCTAATGAGGTAGTATTTGAAAGTCAGAACTCTGTTTATATATTTTTTTTTACGATGCACAGTTGAAGTGGTTGAGGATCTTAAGCAGTTAATATAATCTGGTATGGGAAAGGGGAAAAAAAGGAAAAAAAAAAGCAATGATCAAAAAACTGTAATTGCAAAAGTATGCAACACGTACATAACTGATGCATTTTTTGCGGGAAATTTTTATTTATTATCTCAATATAACATGGCTTTGATAGAGTCAGGAAGTTTTCGATGTCTATTATGGGTTCTTTACAGTTACGATTTGATAATATAGTTCTAGAAAGTAAACTACAGAAGGTTGAAACTGTTTACTAATGATTTCAGTTATTATTTGTTGCATTTAGAGTTACCGATTTTCTCTAGACGCTTTTACACCTGCCATATAATATGTGGGCTGTATGAATTTTTGTTTCTTTTTTTGTGCGATAATCAGGTGAACACCAGTCGTGTGGAGGAATCATCCAAAAGTTTGGAAGTTAGTGCTGCTGAAAAACCTTACCATGCCCCTTTTGCTCGAATCTCCTCTTTGGAAGACCCTTGTACTCGAAATTCTGATTATGGTAAAGCAGTCCCGACAAGCTCAGGAACAACTACATCTGCTAAAGCTTATGTGGTTAATGAAAAATCACTACAAATTGAGACCATTCCAGAAGCTTTAGCAAAAGTTCAAGTAAAAGAGTCACCAAAAGGGCTTAGAAAGCTTTTGAAGTTTGGAAAGAAGAGCCATAGTACAGCTGCAGGCGATCAAAGCCTCGAATTAGATAATGCGACTAGCAATGGTTTTAAGCCACATAATAATGCTTCATGCACAGGGTCTGGTGAAGGTATTGCATAGTTCCTACCTTTTATACAGTCGATTTGTGTCTAGAAAATTTTGAGACTCTTGACTAGGATGTCCATTTAACAATGACAACTACAATATTCTAAGGAACATCTGGTCCTTGCATCAGTCTTTAGCAGATGAGTCCAGAAGTATTAGTATGTGCATCTCCTTCTGTTGTGGAAAATCACATAATCATGGTTAAGTCAGTCTGACTTAAATTAATCTGCTAACTGACCACATTTAACATACGTGTTTATTGCAGTTCATACGTTAAAGAATCTAATTTCGGAAGACGAAACTCCTACATCGGGCAATGCTTCCCAGAAATGTAAGTCCATTTACAACTTACACAAAAATCCTTTTGCTGTTTACATCTTTGGAGATCGTGGAATGTGTATTTGACAATCTTTCTTCGCTGCAGCTTCTCGCCATTTCTCTTTGTTGTCGTCATTTCGTAGCAAGACAGGTGAAAAGAAGTTGACAACATGAAGAGGAGTCTCAACATCGTTGCTTTCAGTTTTGTTGTGTCATCGGCTCTTTCCTTTAAGAAGTTTTGTTGTATAAATGGATCCTTGTAAATTCTCAGGCCTTAACCTGAACATCCAGATGGTTGATTGCATTGCAACTTTACTCTCGTCTTTTTCGTAAGTGAATTGTTTGAGATTCATTTGCACTTCATTGTGTTAAACAGGAACTCGAAATGCACAACTCTCCCTTAATATCCCTTTCCTTCTCTCTATTTATTGCGCTGTGCCTAAATTCTTAACCTCGTGGATTTTTAGATGACAAAGTGGATACTTTTTCGGCGTAATATCGAGTGGAACTAATTTTTGACGTCTGTGTCTTATTATTATGCATATAATGAAATGACTGATTACAAAGGCTCTTAATTGAGCAGCCAGTCTATTAGCCGATGGAATTTTGTTCACTGTGGTTGAGGATTCATTAAGCATAGCATTGAAGATATTACGTGAGAAGTATCTATAAAAAAGATCCCGAGTCCTTTTGGTTGTAATTTCCAGTACATGGTTTATTTCATGAGAGAACTCTCCGATGTGGGCTTAACGGTGATGATGGTGGTAGTATTGCAAAATGGAGTGATATCTCGACGAAAATAAGCCTGTGTAGGTGTTAACTTGGTGTGTGAACTTAGTTTGTTTTTAAATTCACTTTTATTTCTATTATTCATTAATTCTTATTTCTATTATCCATTAATTGTTATCTCTATTATCAACTGGCACACAAATCCTAGTCAATCAAAATTACATCCCTTCAATTCTCACGTTCTCCCTTGCTAGCGGCTTTTTTACTTCCAATTATACATGTTTTTGTATGATACACTTTTTATTACATATTATATAAAATAGTTATATTCACTTGTACTATTTTTGTGATTCTTTCAATTAAAAATATTTTTTGACAAGTTGCACACGTATTGAGTGTGCCTCAATAGCTAGTTATGATAATGGAGGACTGCTATTGGGTGTAAATTGAAAGGGGAAAAATGATATGTTAGATATGGTATTACCTGCTTAATTCCTGAATCACAAAGGATGACTTGTCCTCCTTTTAATTATATTGTCATTGATCCTTCACAAATATCTTATTTTAATCCTTCATTTTTTTAATTTCAATAACTAATAATAGGGTAAAAAATAAAATAAAACGACTGAAAAAGGCAAAATGTGAGAAACAAATAGAATTTTTAATGAATTTTTGTTTTTTTAATTATATAGTGTTGTTTTAACTTACTATATTTTGTATTTTTATCATGCTATTAGTTATTAGAACTCAAGGTCAAGAATGCCCTGCTATTAGTTATTAGAACTTGTGGAAACCAAAAAGGAGTTAAAATAGAATGTTTGTGAAGGGCAAATTATAATATAACGAAAGGTATCATAGGAAATTAGATAGAGGATTTTTATTTTTTTTAATTTTTGGCAAGACACTAGATGCGAGATGCATGTAATTTCCTTTCATACCGATATACATTGGAACCCAAACCTCTAGATGAATTGAGATCTTTATTTTTGAGAACTCTGTACTTTGCATGCTGCACCTTAAGCAACAAATCTCTTTAAAGAGAAGAAAACATATTCAACAACAAAAGACTAAAAGAAACTGAAGTTTATGCAGCTTCCTAAAGATGCTACTTGAAACTGAAGTACATGGAAATGACAACAACAAAAGACTAAACAAAAATCATCCCATCCTATAGAAGGCTATATAGTACATAAAATCTTAGCTATTCGATTGTTGTCATAATCATATGACTACCCCAACTATTCCAAGAACAGAAAATAGCGTACTGATAATCAACCACTTAGCATCTCCTGTGAGGGGCAAATAGAAACGTTGCATGAATCAAATGATACTTAAAAGGGTTAAAAAAACACAAGCATGGTCAAAATAAACAAATTTTATATTTGAACTTCTTCTCCTATGGTGTAAATACTCCAAATAATCTTTTAACCACAAATAGTCTCACCTTTGTCTCTACATGTGGCAGCTGAACTCTGCTGGGAGGAATCTGGTAACTCATTTCCAAGCTTCGAACAGTTATTTCCTAGTGCACCTAAACAAAATTACAATAGTTGACAACCCAAAAGTTTCTCCCAAAAAAGAGTCAGAACATCCACTGTCTTGAGTATAGATATGTATTATTAAGAGCATTTTGGACTTTGGAGTATATTCTTACAGTCATTATAGCAGGGAAGTCCAGTGTGGTTGTGTAGATTGTAGTAACCCTCTTCACATTCACAGCTATACTTGAAGAAAGAGGTCCTATTGCATGTCCCGCCTCCACAATCAATCCAATGGCACGCTAAAAGAAAGCCCCCCAAAACAAAAAGGTAATTTAACTTGTGAATAATAATCCAATCACTAATTTAGTAAGGCAGTAGAAAGTGTTGCTAAAAAAATAAAAAAAGAGGGAAAGTTGAAATTGCAATTACGGTCGAAGGCTGATGTAGAGGGCTTCTCTGTTTGTGGAGGAAGAGGAAATTGTGATTCTAAACAGGTCGAGTTCAGGGTACCTAGTGAAAAAAAAAAAGAAAAAGAAAAAATCCATATCAGAATGAGTTAAAAAAGCAAAAAAAATCAAGTATAGTAAGCATTTTACCAGTTAAGCTGCATTTTCTAGTCACCATTTATTTTCGTTTGCATTTTTATTTTTTGCATGCCACTGAATTTAACAAATCTATTCAGCCAATCCCTCAAGCTTAATTATATTAGTTTATGAAGCCCTTTACCATATATCTTGTGAATAAATAAGCAAGCTTAAAAAGCCTTAAATTTGCTTTTTTTTGAACCAAAAAAAAAAAAAAGATTGGACGGAAACTCACAGTTGGGAACCACACAAGGCAGAAACTTGAGATCATCAACATGAAATAGAGGTAGACTTGCTTGCTTCCAACCATCATCACATTCACATACAAAACCAAGAGTGCTGTTTTGTGAACGTTTGCAAGTACCCTTTCCACATTCCATCTTATCGCATAGAGCATCTGTACAAGTATAAAATCAAGAAACACCAACAGAAATGTAGACGCTTGATATCGTTCAAAATATATGACAAATATGATAAAGGGTTCATCTCTAACATACCAAAGATTGGTGAAAATATGTTTCTTGCAGCACACCAAGGCTGTAGAATAAGAACGATTGCACTAATGAAGATTGCATGCGTATGAAAAGAAGCCATGTTTCAAAATGGTTTTCTAACAACCAGATTTGTGATGAGATGAAAGAAGAAAAATATGCCTAATTATTTATAGCTCAAATTTTAGTGACTACATTTATCCATATCAGAATCTTGAATTGTTATTTGGACTTGGTAGATTTGTTGGTGGAAGTGTTTATAGTTTTTAAATTTTTTATACCGTTTGGGTTTTTTTTTTTTGGAAGTTTAAGTTTGTAACTCCTAGTCTCCAATGGGAGTTGGACGTGGCTGATTTTACTCTTAACAGTATAAGATACTCTTAACATTAAACTCGCCTTGTAGATAGGTTAATTTTGTTCAAACCTCTAATCAATTTGAATTCGGAATCAAGATAATGAACTAGTTAAATCAGTTTAATTGTTTCTTATATGCTTATTTTTTCGATTAATCTTTATCATCAATTACAGTAAATTATGGGAGAATAGAGCAATTTTTCAATCGAAAAGTAGTACTGCAATCTTTTTTTTTTTTTTTTCGCTCTGGGAATGTTTTACCAATCTTGTCATCCGTTGGTAAAGCTTTCATGTGATTAAGGGTTATACGTTTTCTCGTACTATCATGGATTACAATAAATTATTAACCTTCAAAATGGCTTTAAAAACGTTGATTTCAGTGTTTCATTTTACATTAATTAACATGAGGTCCTTGCCTCTAATCCCACTGATGCAACCTATTGAATTATCTTATCAAGGAAAGTTTAATGTTTGTATCTCAGTTACATACTTAAGATGGGCAGCTGCAGCTGTACCAGGACAACAAAAATGCAGTCATCTTTGTAGTTGGTCTAAAATTTTTCTTCAGAATCAAACCAAAAGCAAGGAACTAAGGAAAAGATTTGAAAGTCTGAATCTTGGCCTATTTAATTAATCCATCAGGAGCTGTTGAGAATGTCTGTCTGCTGAAAATTGAAAAAAGTTGTTTGGCACTTCAATCATCTTTACAGTTTGCCTCAACGAGTACAAGAAACAAAAGTATTATGACTACTCGGACGTCGCAAATCAGTTCTCTAATTTCGGATTCTCTGCAGTTTGTCATGATGGAAATGGTGTTTCTGTAATAGAAGAGCAGCAATGTCAATCGAAACGAATGATCAAGCAAGAAATGTTGCTTCTGCTCATTCTTGTTACAGCCTCTTTTGCTAAGCAATCAGCAGCTTCCTGTGGATCTTCTATATGCCTGATAAGGTTAACAGCCTCCTGATGCTTCATCACCTGTTCACGGATGGTAGAAAGAATGATATCATCAATAATTCACTGAAAACAGGTCTAGCACGGGGAGAAAAACAAAAGAAATCAATTAGCTAAGAAACAAGTTCTATCAAAAAGTTATCTCAATGAAGGGAATTAGCTTTCTAATTACCTCCCATATGCCGATGCTCGCCAAGATTAGAAATTCCGTATCAGACTCTACTCTTTCAGATACCACCACGAGTTCTGAGCATTTATAAGATTTATTTGCTCTTGCATTGCCAGAAACTCGGCCTATTAATCGCGCTTTAACCCTGTGAATAGCACCTGAAGTGATTGGAATATGTCAGCCTATGCCTAATTTGATCCCAGAGCATATGATTTGGTAAAACACAATATAAGCTGGATTAAGTGTGTTGGTAAAGACAGGACATCAAACTAAAATCTTATTGAAAGCATGCCACATTTGTGATTTGCAATTCCTCATTTCTCGATCAATCGTAGTTATATATGATGATAGCTTTGACAGTTAAAACTAGAGCAGCATGGTGATGGTAGCCTAGATCAGCTGCTGTCTAGGTGCAAAATTGACAGCACTACTTGTCCAGCAAAGAAAGTAAATTTCTCAACTGAAGATTCATGCCTGGGATAAATTTTCGCGACCAACGTCTTCTAATCCCTCCTTGTTTTTCTCTGTTGATTTGATAAGCCTTGCCATCTCTACACAAAACTGCTTTATACTCCCCCATGTTAGCTATGACAAGCTTTTCCCCATTGATTACAATTGCCGTTGCTGAACTCACTTTCCATGCATCCTCTACCTTCTCTGCTTCTCTGATCTTTGCTCTAACATTCAAATGAGCCCTTTTTATGGCGTCCTCTGTCTTCTTCCTCATGTGGGACTGCAGCAAATAGATTTCTAATGTAAAATTTGATTCAAAGTAAAATAACAAACTGACAACTAACCGATAAAATGTTCTTTTTTTTCAATCAATTTGTACTTCAATCAAAACCCATTCTTTTCACAATTAAGGGTCTTACTTGTTGGATGATAAACTTGTGATTATTGAACTTAGACTGGATGGATTATGAATTCACAATCCCCTTTTTTTTCCTTTGTTTTTTTTCTTCATCCTCTTAAGGGAAGAGGTAAAATACAACTTCATTTCCCTCATTTCCTCACAAGAAAACTACACATGCAAAAAATCAACAAAAATTTCGAAAAATAATTACTACCATAGTTTACCTCCTTCACCTTCTTGTCAAACAAATGTGCCTGAATGTACTTGCTGACTCCGTCACCAATTCGTGCATCAAAAACTCCAAAGAACCACAATTCATTCTCTTGAATCTCTTCTCTTTGTACAACAACTTTGTCAGGTTCCAACTCCAAACCTCTACTCAGTGCTGCAACAAATGACCGATCTTCCGCTACATGATATCCATGTGATACTGCAGGCATCATCCATGAGGGCCTTTTTCCTCCGCTTGCTGTCTTTCCTTTGTCATCTCCCTCACCTCCCATTAGAAGTCTCCTCAGCCTAAATGTCTGTCCAAATTCAGGAATTAATATGCCACACAAAGTAACAATAATAATTTTCCATGTATGCAATACACATTGAAGCAGCCATTTCCTGTACTAGCATTACACAAACCAAGAACCATTGGGTAATGAATCAATCTGTATACAAATGTATGAGTAAATGGTGGAAGATGATCACTAAAAGGAATTGGTTTTTACTTCAATTGAGCTATTCCAATTGATGGACGTTACCAGTTATGGTTTGGAAAAAAAAATTGTTTTTTTTGTTTGGATGGATGTTACACCATCAAAAGAGGAGTTGTTACTCTCCCAAGAATCCATTGATCAAGAATTTGGAGAAATCAAGAACTCAGAATTTTGTTCACACAGTTCTGGGAGCATAAATAAGAGGGATGGTTACCTTGAGCTTGAGATGAAGATCTAACAGCCCCATGTTTCTGTTGTGAGTGTAAATGGTAACGGAAAGTTCTGAAGAACTCCAATTTTGAATGAATAAGATGATGATAATAAGAAGATAAAACAGTAAAAATTTCAAAAGGCTGGTAAAGAAACGCGGGTCCCTGGGAAATGAAGCAGTATTACTATTGTATAGGACTGCCAGCTACAGCCAGTGCTGATTAGCTTGATTATGGTTTTAGAGATAAAAATTTAAGGAGGAACTTTTAATGTAAGCATTTTATGAGATTTGATATCAGTAGACAAATTTAATGCACTACTGGACTCAATGGTTAGTTGCCATTTTAGTCTTGGAGGGGTGCCATGGGGTGGTGGATGATTATTTGTAAAGATGAAATCGATTTGGAAAAATGTCTAAATACAAAGGGAACAATAAATGTGGATATATGTATTCATATGGTAAATTTAATTTAATTTAGGTATACTAAGTTATTAAAAATAGGCACCAGTTAAAAAAATTCTTCTATTTTTATCAAATATTTTTTTCTGAGAAAACTTTGAAGGGAAGGACTAAATCCACACCCTATGCATTTGTTAGACATTGATGCCCTTAGCATTTATTAAATAAATTTTTTTTTGTAATAATATGTTTTCTAAAGGAAAAAAATTCACACACTGATCTTTATGTAAGTTTTATACAAAATTTTTTTTCTTGTTTATTTCGTTTCAAAATTTATCTTTCTCTAAAGTTGCTTTAATTTCGCTTCTCTTTCCTATTATATATGATTTACCACCTTTATTTTGTTAAACTTTTTGAAACACTTACATATAACCGAATGGTAAATATCAGTATGAAGTCAATATGAATGCATATTCCACCTTGAAAATTGCTTAGATTTTGACTTTATGGAATTGAAATATGTAGACATTGCTATTTATATCATTAGTAGTAATTGAAAGTAATTTTGATAGCTAGATTAAATTTTAAACTACAAATTAATATTCTCACAGAGTTTTAAACATTTGTTTTTCCTCTTTTTTCTATATAAATATATGCTTCTTAAAATTATAAAACAGCATCAAATTAACTTAAAACTTAAAAGCTAAGGCTATGTTTGTCCAATAAGTGCATAAGATGTGAATTTAGTACAGAGGGGTGTGGATTTAGCCTGGAATTAATAGATACACATCTAATGCTGTCGAATTGGAGTTTCTGATATAAATGCACAGCTAACAATCTTGGTAAGTCAATATGAGTAGAAATTTGCATTAATCATGCATGCTGTGCAAGTTTTGTACTTAATACTAGTAATAATTAGTAAAAACTGTCAGCAAGAAGCAGATAGGCCTTTGATGACTCCTATTAATGACTCGAGTTCTTTACCAAGCCCAGTACTATAGAGGTCCAGATTAATTTTCATCCTTTTGAGGGGATGAGTAGATTCTTAAACAAGAAACAAAACGGTTAGCCAAAAACAAGAAAGAAAAAATGGTTTGGAAAAAAAATACATCTTCAGATGTGTACTTCCAAATACCCAGATTAAAGGTGCAAACGAGTCAAGTTTAATCAAATAGCTCGCAAGATTGTTCGGTCAGAACTCGAACTCAAATTCGTATTAATCGAATTCGAACTGGAGTTTGAGCAGCTCAAACTACTTGACGAGTCGAATTCGAGTTTAATATATAAAGGTCGAAAGCTTGTCGAGCTCAATCGAGTTTCACATATATATGTTTTTTTTAAATTTTTTTTATTTATAGTATGAAATGTCTATTTTGTCTCTTGTTTAAAATTATATAAAATATAAATTTATATTTTTTAATCTTGATTAGGCTCGATTGGACTCCATAAGCATGAGCTTGAATAATGCAAAATAAAATCGAACTCGAGTTTAACTCAAGATCTCGACGAACTTGAACTCGAGTAGTGCACCATTCGAGCTCGACTCGACTCAATTATCACTACGATACAAGCGAGTGTGCCACTAATGACTACTGAGCAATATATATATATATATATTTTTTGGTAAAACAAAAATGTCTGGATGGATTCGTTTACAATCATCACCACGGATTATAGGGCGCACATAATCTTTTGTGAGGAAGTGATCCGTTCTTACCAATCAAACCAATTTGTATTGACACAAATAGTGAGCATGAAGACTATGAAAAAGTTCGCATAGACCAAATTTTTTTGTTTTCAATAGTACATATGAAGATAGTCTATGAGAAAGTGACTCAAAGGTCATGACTTGGTTTTACAAGCCTGAAAATGTCATGGCTTCATTCTGTTAGCCTGTATAAATTTTGGAGAGAAAATTCTCCTTTTTAGAAAAATAAGCTCTCAATAAGACTTCTAGAAAGTTGAGAATAAATGAAAAAAAGAATTAACCTTAAGATTCTATAGGAGTCAAAGGTGGCCTCATTTCACTTATACAATACCAAGGTGTATTTTTTCACCACCCAAAAAAGAATGTTATACTAAAAAAAATACCAAGGCCTTGTATTTTAATAACTTGTACCAGCATGGGGTGCTTTCGCTTGCAGTTAATTCCCCTCTATACCTACTGCTAAAAGATTATTCATACACTTTACATTAAATTGCCAATTACGTAATTAGCAAAAAAAAAATTTTTGTTCATTGAATAATTAGCTTCTTTGGGTGTTTCTTGACAGTTGAAGAATACATTGCATATGACCTAATGTATTGAACTTTAAAGAATGACAGCTAAAGGACCTCCTGCTTACTTAAAATTCCACACACTTAAATGTGGCCATCACTTTTCATTTTCCATTTGCATTTATACCATTAGCTAATGACAACTTTTAACGGTGTGGTTAATTAAAAATTCTAAAATTTTAAGAAGCCCATAATAATTAAGAGTCGAACGAGTGTTCATATTTTGAAATATAAATATAGGGTAATAATTATGGATTAATCTTTTATACACTATCTGTGTATACACTAACGGGATTAGATGAACGTCACATCATCTAAATTTGAATTTAAACATCAAATTTTGTATATGTGGCAGACCTGCAAATGTATACACTGTTAGTGTATACAAGATTTACCCAATAATTATTAGTGCGTGAATTTATATTATAGATTAAATGTGATTTAGGTGTACTATAGAGTGTTCATTGGCTACTCATTAAAAAATAGAATAACTAAAACAAAATATTGCAGGTTACTTGATTGGCAAATTGAGGAGTTTAACAGACTCATTAGCTTGTATTGCCTATACTAAATCCACCTGTGATGATTGATTATATATTAACTTCAATACTAAACCAATACTAATATTAACGTTTGTTTTTAGACCTAATGAAAACTTTAATTTTTCATTTTTGCGAAGAAATCGACTTCTGTTCTTTTTTTTTTTAAAAATGATTATTATTTTAAATTCTTATTGCCAGGAATCGCCGAATTGACTTCGGTTCTTTTCGCAAAATGAGGGGGAAAAAAGATTAAAATGAACAATTTTTTTTTATTATTTGTTCTTCTAATTTCCTCTAAAACCCAACTAAAACCCTCTTTGGTTCCATTGAACAGAGAGCAAAACAATGGCGCTCTCTCATCTTCTTCGACCGAAATCAGTCTTAAAAATTGACAGATACGGTATCCAAAACGAAAACCCATCTGGAAATATGTCTTCTTTATTGTATTTTCTCTCCATTTCCACGTAATAATGCTGCCAAGATTATATTTTTTTTTTTGTCTCTTTTTATTTCACCATTTTAATGGGATTCTTGAAAATATTGCAGGATTTCCAAAACCCATAAGATGGTTCTCTTCCCAATCTTCTGATATTGAGCTTGGGAAGTCATCAAAATTGAAGAAAACGTTTATGCCAAGGGAAGAAAGGGCTGTGGCTGCAGAGTCTTTTGTAAAGAGGTAAAGTGTTCTTGTTTAGTACCAATCAACTGTTTATATTTCATCTTGGCTGAAAACAAAGAAGGGATAATTTCTTGTTCTTTTACTTCTTCTCACTTGTGCTAATTGGACTGAAATTGTGGTACTTGTGAGGAAATGTTTATGCATATGTGAGAACATAATTATGCTTTTCTGATTTCTCCATGTCGATAGACTTTAACGATTATAAGTCTTTCCTACCAATTGAAAAGTGCTAGAATATCAATGATGGAAAGGAGAACACTTATTGCCATTATTTCGTTGAGGCTACTGATGTTTGGGATGGGGCTAGGAAGAATAACATTAATTGATGGTGAACACTGTCGTGTTTTAGCAAACTTCAAAATCGGTGGCTAAGCGTGATAACCATTGAAGTGTAAGTTAGAGAAATTGCGATAGAATGATGATTTAGCCACGGAGGATTTATGTACATGGTCTTTTCTGGAATTGCGTGATTTGTTTCTTATGGAAATTGCTTCTGTACTCCGAGGGACTCTATTGTGCAAATGTAGCCTTATCCCTGGTTTTAGCCAAGGACATGGATAACAGAGGTGGAGGTAGCAGTTGCTTATGTTTCGATGTTGATATAGAATGGACGTCAAACTCTCACATATTCCTAAGGGTGAGATGTACTAAAATGGATTTGAACTTGAGCAGCAACAAGGCATTTCCTCCTGTGATTTATTCAGTTCAATGTGGAGTTCTTATATTAGTTGTCTGATTCTAATTGCTTGGCCCTAGTAAATACCCTCGAGGTGTATTTACCTTCCATATCTGAAGATCAATGAAAGTCTGGTTTTGCCTCATCTCTCCCCTTCTCTTAGCTATGTCTCCACTCCTTCAGGTTTCCTTTCATCATGGCTTAAATGTATAGTTGTGTGCACATGCAAGGATGAGAAAATGTACTGGATACACAATCTTCTGAAGTAGGTTCTAGGGCGTTGTTATAGTATAGACCTTGTTATACTTGGATTGACATCTCCTCCATTTACTTTTACAAATATATTGTTGTTCACAGGATATAAGAAATTCAAGTATGGGCACAGCACGGTTGTGTCAATTTATTCCTTTTTTTTTTCCCCCAGATTAAGCTCTTTCCAGTAGTTGATCATGTAAATGGGTAACGTGTTTAAAGCCCTTAAATGATCCTACTGGAATCTGACCATTAGGTGTTGTAATTGAACCTTTGTGGATTAATAATGGCCTTTGTTGAATTAGATAGGTTGACGTTATTGTAGTTTTCCTCTGGGAACAACTGAATAAATAATTGTTCAAGTGTAATTTGTTTGTAATATTTCCATTGAAGTTGGTTCAGCTTGTAAAACTTATTCAGGGATGTGCATCAGGATAAGGAAATTTATTTTTCTCTTTTGCAATTCTTCTATTTTCTTTTTCTGTTCTGGGTTGGATGTGCGGGTTCGGGTCGTGCATTTCTCTCTATACAGCTTGTAGCTTTCTCTTTCCTTTTTATTTGTTCTATTCTCTACAACAGTAGCAGCCTTTCATATTAATTTCTTTTGTTTTCTGAACTCCAGTACTTTGAACTTGTAGGTACATGGAAACAAATCAAGGAGTCTTTCCCAAGGCAAGCCATATTCAAAATGAGGTGGGTGGATCATGGCACACTGTGAAAGCAATTCTTTGCAACATAAAAGATAAGATACTCAGAACTCCTGTATCGGATAATCACTACGTTATTGATGCTTCAGCTACTGCAGAAGAGACTGCATCTTCTGCATTCGTGACCTATCATTCTCTAGTTCATGACCATTCTGGCTCTGTAGTCAACACAGACCAGGTGCTACAACCTCAGGATAAAGATGTAAGTTTTGGACATTCTACAACAGCGGCAGCAGTGGATGCTTCTTCTGCTTTGATAGTTGAACCAACAGCCTCAGATGCTACTAATATGCATAAAACTTCTGGTTCATGTGAGCTTCAAACAACATCTACTGTTCAGTGTACAAATTCTGGATTAGACATTCATGCAAGTCAGACAGATGCATCAGAAAAAGTTGACGTTCGCTTAAGTATGAAATACAATTCTGAGAGCATGGTTCAACCGAATGCTGTTACAGATAATTCACAGCTTGAGTTGGATAGCCTATGCATACAACCTAAAGAATCAGTCTCAAACATGTCTGAAACTTCAGATAATGGTCATGTTTCAAGTTCTGAGAAGTTGTCTCACTTTGAACATGATAAAATGAATTCGACTGGCTGTCACAAGTGGCAAGAGAATAAAACAATGAGTTGTGTCCCATCTCCAAATTCGAGTGTTGAAATCAGTCCGAAGTCTACTTTACCTGATAATTCACAGAAGGTCGGCAGCCTAGCAGATATCTTTAAGAAGTTTAAAGATGATGCATCAGTTGCTGATGCCAAGAATGGAAAATTGGAATCTAAGGCATCACTCTCTAGCACACTTCTTAGTCATGGAAAAGATAGCAATTCACAAGTTGATGCCAAGAATGGAAAATTGGAATCTAAGGCATCACTCTCTAGCATACTTCTTAGTCATACAAAAGATAGCAATTCACAGCTTGAGAGTCTGTTCTCTTCTGATATTCTACTGCCAAGTAAATCCATTAATAAATGCCAGGATTTTCGTACAAATAAGTTGGTTTCTGGTGGATCTGAAAATCAAAGACCTGAAGGGGAAATGATTGGATCCAGCGTGACACAAACTGTTATTCCCAATATGGCTGAATCGTTCACTGGTTCTGGGAACTTTATGGGTTTTGGAGGCACGAAAAGAGTGAATAACCGAGTATCAGAGTTCATTACCAACAAAAAGAAAGATATTTCTATGCGCACTCTCTTTGAGCATTTAGAAGTGCCTGCACGGAAGAATGATACCACAAGATCTGAGATAAAGGAATTAGTTGAGAGGATCAAGGGGCTTGCAGGAGAGCCATCCATTTTAAGACAAAAGGATAATGTTTCTTCTTGTAAGACAGATGAAAATAGTCAGAAGAGCCAATTGGGGTTTCAGTCACTGGCTAGTTTCAACAATTGTGACAAGAAAGAAAGAAAGATGTCATCAGATTGCCATGCTGATCATAGAACAAGCAAGAATGACGACCCACTTATGGTACTACCTGTAGGTTCAAGGACTCAGGATGATGCAGGAAATAGTACAGGTTGCAGCAAGCAAAGAGGACATACACAATTTGCTGTTCTGATGGACAAAAAGGAGTTAAAGGAAATACAGAATAAATTCTTGGTAATGGAAGAGCTAGGTCAAAACAAGGCAGTAGTGAAGTTCCTGTCAACAGATGTGCAAGAGAATAATATAGTTAAGGCCTTCCAGCATTGTGGTGATATCTTGAAGGTTGAAATTTGGTCCTCTGAAGAGGATTTCTATAGGTCTGCTACCATCTATTTTAAGGTGAGTGGTCATTTCCTTTAGTAATTTTTTTTCATCTGCATTAGTTCAAAAGGTGGGTGCAATATGGATAAATGCCTAGAAGAATTCATAGCAAAATGAAATAGAATGTTTCTGAAGAGATTAGCTGCATTGGTGGTAAATTACTTATTCCACTGAGCATGGGAACAATTTGTTTTTTGGTGAATCGCCATTTATGAGTCCTTATACCTGCAATAGGGGGATGTGAAAAAACAGCTTTAGTCCTGTCATTGCCTTGCTATTAATTACCAATTTCCTTATCACAACAGACAAGAGAAGGGTTGCGAAATGCTCTTGAAGAAACTGACATAATGGTGACAAATCGGAATGTCACTGTGGAAGCTGCTGCTTCTGTGGAAGACAAATCATACAGAACCTCCATCCCTAGTTTGATTGGTGACCCAGATGTCCCTGCAGGCTTGGTGAAGAATCCAACGAGGACTGTTAAGATAACACAGTTGACCTGCGATATTAGCTCAGATGATGTAATTGCAGCTCTGACATCCTGTGGGAGCAAAGTTACTGGCTTCTTCTTAGGTGCACTTGATTCTGTAGCTTTTGTGGAATTTGAGGCGAGTATTCCTGTCCACTTGTAGTTTGTCATTGGGCATATAGCATCTGATAAATAGCTATTCATCTAATTGAATCTGTTATGTTTACAATACTGCACCATAATAATAGAGATAGAGCTTGGCAAAGTCTGCTGCATCTCTCTCTCTCTCTACATTTGAGTGTATGTTAACGTAGTTATAAACGTGCATCCTTGAAAGGTTTCATAGGAATGTCATGGTAGAAATTGCTTTTGACTACTATCTAATTGCAGAGACTACAAATCATTCATCTCTCTGAGATGCAATTTTATAACTTAAATATGAATTTGGAGACAAACTGCTATGTATGTCAAATTGGCTCTTGATTTGATCTTCCATTATCATCTGATCATACACACTTGAATTGTAATTTTCCAGACAGAAGATGGCAAAGAAATAGCTCTTGCAAAACATTCTCTTGATGTACTGGGGAAGCGATTACAAATTTCTCGAATTGATGCACCAAGAACGACGGTTGTAAGAGTTTTGTACAACCAGAGTGTAAAAGGAAGCAAGATTATTCAAGTGTGCAATTCTCTCGGGAAAACCAGGTTTGTCCGTATGAGAAGCCCAGGCATCATGGATATACACTTCAAGCTTGCAGAGTGGCCAAATATGTTAAAGATCCTAAACAGGTGATTTTATATGCATATAAAGTTATTATTTGTATTCAAGTGACACGCATGTTGCCTAATCATTATCCTTCTTTTGGATACCTAAGACTTAATGCAGTTGCAATAGGTGGTCAAACATTGCTAGCTCAGCCTGCAAGTGTCTTCCCTCCGGATATCCTTCAAATTCTATGGAGCCATCCGGAGGAAAGAAAGCATGTAAAGACTCTGGTGCAAAAGCTGCTGCAAGAACTGGGGGAGAATGTAGTACATAAAGTTGGGCTTACTGATCTTGCAGACTTCTATTGAGATGGATGATTAAGAGTATCCTTACTGGGTTCTTGATTTTAAAGATGTTCACGTTCTCGACAAGTTAAAACTTTTTGGGATCAAGAGTAACTGATGAGCAACTGAATTTCCGTAGTACAGTTTAGATGCAGGTAAAATTTTGTAGTACAGGGTTATCAAGAACATGATATTACCACCACTCCTACAATGTCTCAACCGTAATTAGAGCTTTTCTGTGGCAATCTTTTTAGTGTTATTTAGCGCATACGATTTAGATATCATGCTTTGATTTGGTATACATCTCTTTTGAAATTGAGTTGCACATTTGTAATTGGGAATTTGGGATCCTCTATAGCCAGAAAATGGTCAATTAGGCTAGCTAAAGTTGGATGAGGGGGAAAAATACACTGATATTAATTGTTTCTCTACTGTTTGGTGCTCTCTCCCACTTTTGATGGGATGAAGTATTTAAAAACAAAATGACCTTCAAATTTTCGTTAAATATGAAGTTTTGCAGATTCTGTGTGTATAATATGCATTAAATTAGTAATGACGGTGCAAATGTTCTCTTGACTAATCCAGATTAAAGAAAATTTTTGAGCTTTATGCTTGGAATAGCCGAAAGGGGCCTCAAGAAATTGACAATTCCCTTTTGGGGATCAATGATAAGGAGAATGTCTGAAAAGGCTTAGATAAGATTCTACAAAAGGTATTCCCATTACCAAATATGATAATGTATTTATTGGGCGTTACACCAGAGAATTAGCAAAAGTTCTGTTCTAATCCGTGATAATGAAGAATCTTTCTTTCCTTCACAACTTGCAGATTTCCAAAATTGAAGAAGTGTTTGCTAAACATAAGTGAATATTCCTAAATATCAGGCATATAGATTCCTCTATCTCTTGGCCCCTGCCTAGTTTTTGAGAAAAAAAAATTCCTTGTGATAAGCTAAGAAAGAGTCAGATGGTTATAAAAAGAACAGAAGACTAGCATTCAGTTGGTGATTAGATGTGAATCTTTTACTTTAGGAGTATTTTAACTTATCCATAAAAGAAATGAGTGTTTTAACTTATCCTACTCTTAATTGTAAATATTTAATAAGATTTCTAAGTATATTTTACAAATTCAATATCCCTGTAGAAGCTTCATTTGGATTGCTATTTTTAGAAGTTTTTGTAGAAAAATGTATTGTAACGATTTGATATATGTTAGGTAAAAAAAAAATTGAGAACTGTGTTTAGGGAAACCATAAAATTTTTTTTCCACAATCCAAATGGTAGTAATCCAATTTGCGTACGTAATCTTTATTATAAAAGCGATTCTTGGAAACTGTGACACAAACAGGTTGACTGCTTAGGTTCCATGGTGTAGTGGTTAGCACTCTGGACTTTGAATCCAGCGACCTGGGTTCGACTCCCGGTGGGACCTTCTGACTTTTTCTTTTATGGAACTAGCACTTCTTGGTTGAAATTTGAAAATGATTTTTTTTCCTTTTTTCTGTTTTCCCTTTTTGCCAATTCTTGTCCCGAAATAGCATTTCTTAGTTGAAACCTGAAAATGAATTGCATAAATCACATATTCTCTTTTCATCACAAGATAACTCAATAATTAAAAAAACTACATAACATAAATACAATTACGTATTCGTTTACTATCTTAATTTACACAATTCAACTTCTTGAAAGATAAGTCCATACTATCTTGAAAAATTTTTACTTGTTGATAATATTTATAAGTACAATTAATTTTTTACAACTTCAAGTTACGAATTTTAGCTATTACTATTAGTTAGATTGAAATGATATCTAAACTCTAAAGTGATCCACTTCTTTTTAAAATCTAAAACTTCTATAACTGTAAATCGCATAATAATATGTGTGTCTACGTACACAAAATACACACACACACACATATATATATATATATAAGGACAATTCATAGTGCAACACTTACAATTGCAGGGAACCCAATCCCTTTGGTCCATCATCATAAAATAACTTCGGCAAAAGATGCATGGTAAGAAGAACATGGACAAAAGGAATTAAAGAACCGACCAATTCACCTATTAGACAGGTACTGCTAGCGAATAACAAGGAATGGCAAGAAAACACGGTTGACCCCGTTCAATGTAAACAGTGCTGCTCCACGCATCTATTCTATTCTCAGTCTAAAATAGAAAAGAAATCTTGATTAGATGGATCCTGAAAAGAAATAGAATATTCTGTTGTTGGCCTTATAAGCTAGGTAAAATGGCCATTTTGCATGGGTTCCATGGTGTGAGAATCTCATGTGCAAAAATTAAAGTAACATTTCGAGCAAAAGATAGCTGAAAGAACTTTTTAAGCCCACTTTGAACAACTTTCTTGCTTTTATATACGGGAGAGCGCATCCTTCTTCCACTGCGGAGCAGGCTTTGAGGAACTGGTTGAGGAATGGGAGGAGAAGACGAAAAAGTAGTGGAACAGAAAGAAATGGACATTAGTCTGAAGGACTTGTCCAAGAAGCTTGAAGAATTTGCCCAGGCTAGAGACTGGGAAAGGTACCACAGTCCCAGGAATTTACTTCTTGCCATGGTAATTCTACTTTCTTTAAGCTCAATGATAGTAGTTGCCTTTCTTGAGTACTTTAAATGGTGATATTTTGGCATGTTGTGAACCATTTGGTACTTCAATTTTTAATGTTTGGCTTGATTTTGTTTCTCAATTCTAATCTCAGAAGCAGCAATTCGGAATCCATCATTCACAAAGAATGATCAATTTCATCTAGGCAAACCTGAATAATTGGATTTTAGGTGGTTATGGACAACTTAAGTAGTTCTAACTGTTGTTAACTGATTGAGTCAAATCCTTTTCCTTTTGCTCATCACATATTGCATTCTCAGAAGTTAACAATTATACCTAGTCATTTTGGAGAACCAAGCATAAGATTGTCTGAGTTTGGTGCTTCTGCCTGGGAAAGAGCCACAATTTTGGCTGGATGGGTATATTGGCTCAGCCTAATTTTTACTTCTTAGATCTTTGTTAACATAGTGCAGAAAGTCGAAGTTCAAATTTTGACAGCATCATTCCTTCAGAAGAAAAGGAAGATCCGAACAGGAACTTTTAAGACGTGTATGAGCCAATAACCACAAATCTTGATTCATACAAGATGCTTCTCATTTATTCCAGCATCTTGGGGAAACACCTTCATCAAAAGTAGCTTACAATTTGTGCTGAATCAATGCAGATGGCTCAACTTGTCTGTGGCACAAGTGCTAGATTCCCCTGAATAACCCTTTGTCTTTTGCAGGTTGGTGAAGTAGGAGAGCTATCAGAGATATTCCAATGGAGAGGCGAGGTTGGCAAGGGCTTGCCAAATTGGGAAGAATCTGATAAAGAGCATCTGGGAGAAGAGTTGTCTGATGTGCTGCTGTACCTGATCAGGTTGGCTGATATCTGTGGCATTGATCTAGGTGATGCTGCCACCAAGAAGATTGTGAAGAATGCAGTCAAATACCCTCCCAAAGCCTTCTGAAAAATGTAATACACCAGGCAGTTTTGTTCTGTGACTGAGATCAAATCCAATGGCCAAAAATCTCATATCCAGATGTCGAAATAAAATGAACCTCTCTTGATGGGCAAGAAATTCCAAAAATTATCTGAATTATTTTCAGTTTTACAACTTCTGGCATGTTTAGACACCTCAAGGGCTATTCCTAGCAACTTAACTAATTGCTCTGTACGCTTGGTGAATGTTTTATAATATTTGGTTCACGCTCGTATAACTTTATTGTTTAACTTTTGTTTATATATATACAAACTTAAAGTAGGAGTATAACCTTCAATCTAAGTGTACGTCAAATTTTGAAAGTATACAATAATCGCACCTAGTCACACCAAAATCCAATGGTATTTGTCTCAATTATCTATTTAAAAGTCCCTTTCTTTTCTTCAAGAAATAGAACAAAAAAAGAACAGAGACACAAAAAGCCGCCATGGCGTGAGAGAGTCTTTGTGCTTAGTATCCTCCTAGTTTCCTCCAAATGGAGATGAAATAGTAGTGGATCAAGTGAGGTTAAAAAATGAAATCATGAAATGGGATGTATATAAACCTGTGCGGGCGCTCACACGGAAACATATTCTTCATTCTATTCTATTAGACCACTGAATCCGCGGGTATTTTGAAAAACAGTTAACGTGACAACCACTCATTAAATTTTTTTTTTTTTTGCGTTCAATTTTTTCAAAAAACAATTAATTAGTTCCGAATTAACAATTGTCATGAGCTTTGTACACATATAAATGATGTTCAATATACACAGTACAGATTCTTTAAAAGATATAATCAAATTCTCTCAAGAAATCCCATTAATTTCAGGTTCCTCATCTTTGCCATCTTCAAACTATAATTGTAAGATTGCATTTGTTCATCTTCGTTTCTTTATAATTATGGTAATTTTTCTGCATTCACATATGTATTTGAAACCTTGAATCCTGTTTTCTTAGTGGTTCATAAGATTACCTTCTTCAAATTATAACTATAAGATTGCATTTCTTCATCTTCGTTTCTTTATAATTATGGTCAATTTTCTGCATTTATACATGTATTCGAAAGCTTGAAACCCCTTTTTTTCAGAGACATATTCCTGTCTTCATTTTACGAGCAAATCATGATAGGGTTTTACATTTCTTTGTCCATTCTGTGTGTCATTCATGGACATTTGAACTTGTCATGTGGTTTATGCCATTTCTTTATCTTCACGCAGTTATGATTTTGCATGTTTATATTGTTTTTATATGAATTTTCTGAATGTGATGTGCAGAATATTGAGAAAATGGATGGAACTCCATTTACCCCAGCTCTGGAACAAATGAACCATTTGAAGTCTGAACAAGGGGAATTGCTTACCAAGCCTTTCTTGGACGTCTGCAGACTCATTTTGCCTATTTTAGGTTCATCTTCACAGCTGATTTTTTTTTTTTTCTCTTTTTTGAGAATTTGGATTCAAGTTTCTCTTGGTTTGAAATTTCTCAAATAGTTGCGGCATCAAAAATTGTAGCTTTAAATTTCTTTTTTATCTGCCTTGATTGTCTGTTAGTCCAATACAATTTTTCTTCCATAAATGGGCTTAATGACACAGAAGAGCCCTTTTAACAGATAGGATTGACGTAGAATTCAATCATTGCCTCATGTCTGCCCAATTCAGCTTCCTAAACTCTGCCCTTTTGTTTCATGTTCATCTCAACTCTGAATGCTCTTTCCTTTCTCTTTTATTGCAATATCTTCTGTATCACGATTCGGTTTCATCCCCTACGGCTTTTCATTTCTGATGCCAGATAAATTTGGAGCTGCAATGACTGTGGTGAAATCTGATGTCAGCGGTAATATATCGGTAAGACATCATCTTTGGTTAATTTAATTAATGCCGAACATGCTTGAGATGAATTGTTTCTGTCGAATACAGAGGATCGATATTATTTTATCTCATATCATGCAACAAAAAATTGAGTAAATGCTGATGATGAATGCACTTTGCTAGGATGATGATAAAGCATAATGACATGAGAATGGCATTCTAGGGTGAAGTATTATGAGAGCAGTCATAAGTCAGGCTTGTTTGCCAGTTGGTATAGGGCCTTCCATGGCCAATAGTCAGAGCCCTAAGAAATCATCCCTGAACTGTTCAATTTAACAAATTTGTACTAGCTGTCAGATACAAACTATGAACAGAGGACAAACTTGGCTTGCCCTTACATTTAGAAAGTTGTTCATGTTTAAAGAAGCAGTAAGCTTAACCAAGAATGCAGCATAGTCTAAGAGGGAGTTTTTGGTCAGAATATTGGAAGGTTCACAGATTGGAAGTTGATTGTCTCCATGGGATCTAAAATGGACCTAATGGTTACATAGATCCAGGGACTAGCGTAAACATATATGCACATCGCCAGATAAGGCTACACTTCTGTTCCCCTACTATACACGAATCATCCGATACATTAAATTGGTTCATTTCTCTGATCGTGCTTGTCTTTCAAAAACTTGAACTTGATTTCTTATATGCTATTTTACTTGCAGAGGTTGGAATCAAAATATTCTTCCAATACATCTAGATACAACTACTTGTACAGCATAGTACAATCAGAAGTTGAAACAAAATCTGCCAAGGCTTCATCCAGCTGTACCAATGGCCTTCTTTGGTTGACAAGGTTCTTGCTAGTATTTCCAGACGCTTATTATATACATATTGCATTCTGTTCCGAACTTGCAAAGCCATTTAACAAATTCTAGACAACTGCTGCAGCTAATAATGAAGGATTAGGGACAAGCAGTCTTGTCTCACTTATAGTTAAAAACCAATTTTTGGATTAAATGGAAAAGGCAGATCGAGCATATTAGTTGCTTTGAGTAACAGGAGGAGAGTAGAAGGAACAGAGTTTTAGGCATCCATATTTCTTTCTGTAGCTTTTTTCAAACTAAGTAGAAGAAAGAATGAACCACATGGTTGTAATCAATCTCAGCATCGATTATGGTTCGTAACCCTTCAAAGAAACCTGCATCTGCCACTGCTGCAATTGTGTTACCATTTATTTCATTCTTGTCGATGTCTGTTTTAATATGTAGGAATTTTTATACTGTTGCAGAGCCATGGATTTCTTAGTGGAGCTCTTTCAAAATCTAGCACAGAATCAAGATTGGTCAACTGCACAAGCTTGCAATGATTCCTACAGCAAGACCTTGAAAAAATGGCATGGCTGGCTGGCTAGTTCAAGTTTTACGGTAGCTCTGAAGCTTGTTCCAGATAGGAAAAAGTTCATGGAGGTGCTAGGAAACTCAGAGAACATCTACGGTGATATGGAAAAATTTTGCACAACTTTTTCACCAATTCTTAGAGAGATCCACAAGTTTTTGGTAAGAGAACCTTCAATCTTCTGGAACCCTTTGCTTTGAATTACTACTTTACTAGATACGACTGAAAATTTTACACATTGGAATTGCCAAGTGAAAGCCGTAACTATAAACATAATCCTACTGGCAGAGCGAGGGCTGTTACGTTGCGGATGAAATAGTGGCAGTAAATTAAAATTTTTTTTAATGAGTGCAATTTTGAAAATAATGAATTGCGAATTAATTTTTTTTTCCTGTTTCTTTGGCTTAATCACTCAATATCCACTAGCAATTTAATCCAAAATATAATAAGCCAAAATTGTCTAACAACAAGTTCTTCATTACGATGACAATTTTAAAAAAACAGCCATAAAATCAAGTCCACAAAACATAGTACGAAAATCATGTACTCAATATTGAATTAAAATATGCATTAGTATATTAAATTTGCATTGTAACTTACGATTCTATATTCTCTTTCTTGTCACCCTACATAAGGGAAAGAATCTATCAATTTGAACATATTGCAAATTTTAATTTACCAAATGAAATAGCCAATTAGTTACAAATGTTAATCACAATACATGTTTAATAGTGGGATATCTTTGGAGATAATACACAAAATTCCCAGAAGATAATATCTAATATAAAGCATTTAAAAGGAAACTAAAATTTGAATATCAACAAATTTAATAATATTCTAAAAATATTTAGAGAAATTAATATTTTTTTCAAGGCAAAATTTAAGTTGGGGAACCAAGGAAGGAAGAAGTAAATTCCATTCAAGATTTACCCACATATTAGTTTGAGCTTTGGCAACTCCTTGCCTTGTCTAAATGGAGTTAGAAGGTTGTAAAGTGTCATCATCTTTATACCAACGATAGGAACTTTGCCATGCTCAAGGATGTAATCATCCTTAGGATCATATATTCAAAATACACACATATCTACCTAAGCTAAAATGGAGTCAAAAGGGGGTACTTGTGATTCTGCACAAGTCTTCCCTGCTCCTTTTTAATCTTTGAAATTGATCTGAACTCATTTTTGCGTTTCCATGATCAGTGTATGTGAGTTTCTTTATGACAAAAAATTGAAAAATATCAAATTTCATTTGATGCATGTTCTTTGTTTTGCAGGCAAGCGTTGGATTGGATAGTATGAAATCTTTGTAAAATCGGAACCTATCCTCATGATATGATGTGCTTCTCTGATGGCAATGCAGCTTTATTTTTCTTGCTTCATTATCATGTCTACACTCTTCTTATTTTTTTCCCTCTCTTTCCTTCTCGGATGGCAATGCAGCCTTCATTCTCTTGCTTCGTTCTCATGTCTACACTTTTCTTACTTTATTCCTGTCTTCTATCCTTCTAATGGTACTTCTTATGGTTTCTTGTTTAGACAATTCCAACCTCTGAAGCTTGTATTTCTGGGTTAATATATAATTTATCATTGGCAGGAATCTTGCTCTTTATCTTGTTCCTCGAGTATACTCATTTCACACGCTACTTGTACTTCTGCCTGCTAAGCAGATGCTTGCCTTTTGCTTCAATATTTCTTTTACCTGCCATATTACAACTTCGAAATGCAACTATTCAAGGCACAAGTTCATTTTCTAGCTACATTTACGTTTAAAGAAAAAAAAAGGAAAAAATAAAATCTCTTCTCTTTCTATAAACTTTATCAACATCCAAAGAAATTCAATGCCTTGGTTATGACGTGAAGTTTGGTATCATATCCTCAATTTTTAACTGCATAAAAAATTTGGGCCTTGATGAAGAATTTAAGTCTTTCTCTTACTGAGGAAAAGCAAATTCTCCCCTTGTATCACGACTACTTCCTTCTTCTGAATTTATGCTTAGATTACATTCACGGTTTGGGGTTGAGTCTACATCCTAAGCTAGGCTGTATAAAGGATGTAGCAGAAAGAAAGTTTCTTCACTTATACTTTGTCCATCTTCTAAGCAACATCCTGTTTGAGTCTTGCAAATTCACACCCCACACCTTAATTGTGAATTCCAAATTTCCTATTTCCCAACAAATTATCAGGAGTTGGGCACATCATCACCTGTCGAGAATCCAAGACTAGTAAGTATAAATTCTGTTTCTCTACAAATCCTCGTGCAGGATCATCTGGTGAAGAATGAAATCCTGTCTCAAGTTCCTTTAGATATGCTCCTGTCTACTAGTATCCGAAGATAACATCTTAATTTATGCATTATCAATAGTGGTTTCTGTTTACCTCTTGATGACCTCTCGAGTTCAGCTTATCAACCAGACTATGCTTCATTGTCAATTGTTAATGGTGTCGTAAAGCAATTAGGTGCTTTTTCATTTCTTAAACCAATTATTGTTGGAAAACATGGGTCAATTCTGAAGAAGCTATCATATCGAAATTCTAGAGCTTTATTTTTAATTTTGTAGCTCGTATTGTGATGATAAATTTCGAGCATCAACATGATACAAAATATTATAGCGTCAAGATGTGTTCAGACTTGTTACATGCTATGACTATCAATACACCTAAACCATAAAGATTAGTTTTTTAAAATTTACAAACAAGATAATGTTGTTTGGGAATGAAAAAACGGAATCCAAGTTGGGCTTTTACTTCAAAATTTCTCTTAATTTTCTACGGAGTATAGATAGACACAAAAGATACATAGATACCATATAGATATGCAGACTTTTGAGCCTCAACTATTCGCAAGTAACTTCTCGTAATGGAGAAAAATTTTCTTGATCTTTGCTTTAGTTTATTCTTTTCTCCAACCTATATATAATTCTAGTTATCTGAGTCTATGTTAGCTGAATTAATGAATGAAGGAGTTGAAAATTTTAGGCTCGGTTGTACACCGATTGAAATGAAATAAGACATTTGTTTTAGTGTGTGGCCCAACTTGTCAAAATGCTCCAGTGAACCAGTTGAATCTTAAGTGACAAAATGCAAACAATCCTCATAGGTATGATAACAGATATGCTCGCTTGTGCTAGATACTTTGATTAAATTGCTTTATTTACTCTGTTAATTACCATATCAATTTTTTTGTAGTAGTTTTTCTTAATGTACCTTGATTTGTTAGTGTTCATTGTATCCAATATACACGAAAAGATGAAAATTCCTGAGGCTAAGCTCTGTGCCTCAGCCCAATACCAGTTATTCAAGATTGCACAACTACAGAAGTACAAGTAGTCTATGAAATTCAATCTTACACATGCATATTGATTCCAAGGAAAAAGGAAATTCTGATGTCACGTGATCATTTTACGCAGAAAAATTTATGGATTTGTAGAATTTTTAGAGAAGTCCAGGCGGTGCAAATACTATCTGCTAGCAATAATATGGCCGAATCTATTGTTTCTATTGCCGTAGAAACTCTTTGGGCTTTGTTAAAAGAAGAAGCAAAGCTGTTGTCTGGAGTAAGTGATCGAATCAATGAAGTTTGCATAGAGTTTAGGAGGATGCAATGTTTTCTTCAAAATGCTGAGGCAAGACAACACAAAGAACAAGCTGTACAAAATTCGATACGAGAAATCAGAAGTCTTGCTTATAGAGCTAAGGATGTCATTGAGACATATGCTGTTGAAGTTTCATCTAGAAGAAGAAGGGGATTCAAAAAAGCTTGCAAAAGATTTGCTTGCATATTGACAGAAGCAAGAGCATTGCAGAAAATTGGTGCTGAGATTGGAAATATCAAAGCTGAAATAGCTGGTGTGGCATCAAGTATGTAAACTTATGGTATAAAAGCAGTCATTCAGGGAGAAAGCTCTAGTAATGCTGCAACTCATGAAAAAGAGCGATGGCTACAAATGACCTATGCTCACTAGGTTGAAGAAACATTTGTAGGGATGAATAATGATATTGAGAAATTGAAATACCTTGTCGTGGATGAGCATACGCACCATAAAGTTGTTTCGATCTGGGGCATGGGAGGTTCTGGGAAGACCACAGTTGCAAGAAAAATCTACAACCATGTTGGGATTCGACGCCAATTTGAGGCCTTTGCTTGGGTGTGTATAACTCAGCAAGGCCAAGTTAGAAAAGTTTTGGAGGAAATCTTGCAACAGTTGTACTTAGATCCAGAAAAGAAGAAAAATGTCAATGCCATGGCTGACAAGGAATTGATGGAGGAGTTGTATAAAGAACAAAAGAAGAAGAAATGCTTGGTTGTTCTGGATGACATTTGGAGTGCAATTGATTGGAAATGCCTCAAACTAGCCTTCCTATTGATCAAGGAATCTCGGAGTAAGATTTTGGTTACAAATCGTAACCTAGAAGTAGCTCAAGTTGGACAGGTTCACGAACTCAGTTTTTTGAACAGCAACGAAGCTTGGAAGCTACTTTAGAAGAAGGCCTTGATATTTGACGATGTGAACCCTTAAGCTAAGTATATTTTTTGCTTGTTTGCCTTGCCAAAAATGTGTCCTCACCACATTCTATTTTACATCTCTCTGAATGGTAAAAACATTCATTTAATTTGCATTTGAAACATAAACTTTGCTTTGCCATATAACGCTGAAAGCTTTTGCAGCATACTTTGACTTATGGTAACAATTTCATTAATCTAACTGAGGCATGTTTGCTAATAGCCTATAGATTAATATCGTGGAAACCAAATGCAAACATAAGATTTGTCCTCTTTTTAGCTTGTAATGAATATTGTATGCTTATCCAAAGATTCAGATTATTATACTTCACATTTGGAATCATAACATCTATTCAAAAAATGCAGATTATTAGGTACAAGTAGGGGTGGGCACGGGTCGGGTACCCGTCGCTAACAAGATATGACTGATCCAACCCTAAAATATCGGATCAGTCATTTTGTGACCCTACCCCGCTCCTAATATTTTCGAGTACCTGAAAAAAATGAGCGGGTTATAGGGTACCCGCCCCTAAAAAAAACTATTTTTCAATAAAAAAATATTTTTCACTTAATATCAACATGTTTTTCAATAAAAAAAACTATGCTTTCCAATTAACATTGGTAGATATATTATAATCAAAATCCATGCATCACCATTCTCACACATTTCATCCAATAATCAAACCAATTTCATAAACTTAGTACATATTAGAATTATAATATCTAATAGATAAAACGAAATTTTATAATAATTTTGAGTACATCACCGTTCTCACGCATTTCATCCGTCTATAACATAACAAACACAAGGATAATAAGTATATGATAACTTTTTCAAGTATAACAAACACAAGGATAAAACAAAGTTTTATGATAATTTTGAATACATCATCATTCTCATGCATTTCATCCTTTTACAACATAACAAACACAAGAATAATAAGCATATGACAACTTTTCCAACTTCCTTAAGGATATTATGGTACAAGATTGCATCCAAAATGAGTCGATTGTGGAATCAAGTCCGGAAAAGAATTGAACAGAGCTAATAATTTTTAAAAAAAGTATAACCAAAGTAATCTTGAAAATTTTCCCCAACTTTCTTACATCTTTGGAATAGATCTTGTTGCATTAAAGGTGATGAAAAAGAAAAATAAATTTCTTACACTAAAATAACGGAAACAAATTTAAGAGACACAATTGTAATAAAATAAATAAACAAATGAAAGACACAAATGTTTTAATTATCTAGCTAACAGAAAATTGGTCAAACACAAATATTTGATTGAATTGATCAAAATTTTGCAGAAAAGATCGATGGAAGTAGAATAAAAATGAAAAAGGATGAAAGAGATGAACAATTTTTATGATACAGTTTCACAAATTATTTTTTATTTTATTTATTTGGTTCAGGTTTCACCAAGAATATTCACTTTTTTTAGACAAGATGAAGAGAGGCGGATCATATGAGATTAAAATATGAGGTTGTGAACTACTTTACTTACACTTAGGATTACAAATTATAAAATTATATAATGAACCCTTATTTTTTTAATATTTATATAATATATCTTGCGGGTCGGGTACCCGCGAGTTTTTATTTTGCTGATCCGTATCCGTATCCATTTTTGCGGGTATCCGAGCCGCATCTGCCCCGCCAAGAAAAATCGGATCGGATATCCTATTTTTCGGATCAATTGGTCGGGTTTCGAATCGGATCGAATTTTTTGCCTACCCCTAGGTATAAGAAGATTCACTACTCTAAAAGAATACAATTCTTCAATTCAGTTACTTCATAATACAAATTAATGTTCTTAGTGAAGCTCAACAGGATGTACAAGTCATATCGTAATTGATACGCAAGTTAATGTGTAAAAACTTATATGAAACAATGGGTATATCCCTTCTATTTTAGCAATATTTTGATTTGTGCAGTTTCTTCATCACTTCAGTAGCAGATAAATTAAATGGTAAAACTATTTCATCGTGGATTTAGTTTTTGAAGATTGACAAATTCATCAACTTAAAATTTTTGGGTTTTGTTAGCTTTTGATTATTGTATTAGAAGTTAGAACAAGTGAAAAGACAGATAAAATGTAGACTATCCATATTTCATTATATGGTTTTACAACTGAGGAGAAGTGATGCTCTGTATACTAAAGCAAAATAATGTTTAATTGTGTATCACTAAAAGATTTGACTATGCAGATTCTAGAACTGAAGTTGAAAAAGAGAAGATAGGAAGGGAAATGGTGCACAAGTGCAGCTATCTACCATTAGCAATATCAGCAGTTGGAATTTAGATGAATGGACAGTGGTGAATAAAGACATTGACTCTTATTTGGGAAGAGAAGGCTCTGATGGTAATAGAGGAATAATGCAACTTTTGACTTTGAGTTATGATGTCCTACCATACCACTTTAAGCAATGCTTTCTTTCCTTGGGCCATTTCTCAGAGGATCTAAAAATAGGTACAAGTGTCTGGTATTTCACTTGGTTGGCTGAAGGAATAATTTTGCTGAATAAACATTTAGAAAAAAAAAGAGACTGTAATGGTAGTTGCAGAACAATATTTGACCGAGTTGGCTAGTAGGTCCATGGTTAATGTTGAACTCAACAAGTCTGCCATACTCGGATTGAAGTACGAGCATTGCCTTCTTCATGACCTTATGAGAGAACTATACTTAATGAACTGCTCAGAAGAAGATTATGTCAAGGTTGTGGACTTTCAAGGTGGAAGGCAACCGGTGTTAGAACGTTGTCCTGTCATTATGGATGACATCACCACTACCAACACATATAGACTGGCTATCCATACAGATGGAAACTTTAAAGGTGACGTTATAGGAAAAATTACAGAACGACTCTCACCACGACTACGTCCATTACTTTTATCGATACGAGTCAAGGTGAAAATTGTTCGGTAGATATGGCATGGACATCCTCTGAAATATTCAACAGGTTTAAATATCTTCGAATTCTATCCTTTGACTAATACACTTTTGTGAACAAGAAGTCAATAGAATTTATAGGAAAGTTGATTCACCTAAGGTTTATACGTTTCAACAGTTGTAAGATGGATAAGTTGCCATTACAAGTACTTAACTTGCCATTTTTACAGAGCCTAAATCTTCAAGGGTCTGTTTGGACGAATCCTACAAAAATACCAAAGCTAGATATAGCGTGGAAAGCCAAAAGATTGAGGCATCTCTTCTTTCCTAATAATGGTGCGAAAATGGTTGATCAAGGAAAATTTAGATTATGTGGATTAGTTCAGCTGGAGGAAATAATTGATTTTGACACCAGTACAATGGAAGGTGCAGATCTTCTTGAACTAAGTAATATTCAATGGTTTTCTACAACAATTTATGACAATGAGAGCCTTTCTTTAATCCTCAACTGCATTGAGGTCAATTGACCCAACATAGGGCATGTGGTGCTTGGTATCTGTAACTGTAATTTTACTGAAAATGAAAGCGGGACCAACTCTAATCTTGTAAGGAAGGTTTTCAACCGTCGCCACCTTATTGGCTTGGCGATTGAAAGGAGCCTAGGCAACAAATTACCCAGGTACGAAACAAATTTTGCTTCGAGTTTGAGACATTTGGCACTATATGGATCTGAAATAGTAGAAGACCCCATGAAAATTTTGGAGAATCTCCCCAATTTAAGAGAACTTCAACTGCTGATGAATTCCTTTATGGGCAAAGAAATGGATTGCCACAACATGGGGTTTCTTAGTCTCACTGATCTTTCCCTCAAAGGACTGCACAGTTTAGAGAAGTGAAGGATTGATGAAGGAGCTATGCACATTCTTATGAAACTTGAGATCAGGAACTGTAAAAAGTTGCATATGATTCCAATTGGATTGAGATTCATCTCCACACTCAAGGAACTTAGGACCGTTGACATGTCTACTGAATTTATTGAAGAATTGCAACAGTTGATGGTCAAGCAGGAGTAGATTATGACATTGTCTCCCATTTGGAATAAATCTATCTTGGATAAGAATAACCAAACATTTGGTCAGCTGCATTTCTCCCCTTTTTTTGGGTTGTCTTTTGCTATCTCCGAATACGTGACTGTCTGTACATATACATTGTTTTACTCACAACTTTTCTCTACAGGATTGATACATTTGTCAACATTAGGTTGCATAAATATGATACTCTGTAGGCCATCCAGTTTTGTTTAAACTATTATAACTTAATTTGCAGATAGGATCATTATCAGATGATCACATTTTTCTATATTATTTGGACTTGTAACTTCTATTGTTTCTTTAATTTACTCTTCGTGTAATTTTTTCTGAGCTGCAGAAGATGCTGCAGGCATGCTAACGACCATCTAAGTACAAGGTAACAAATATATACTTTATTTGTGAATTTATTAGCGCCGGGTGGTTTTATTTATGTGCAATCTAGCTAAGTGAATGATTACTAATTGGCATTTTCCTTTATGAATTGCAGGATACCCAATAGGTTTCCTTCAAAATTTCTAACAAGCAAGATCTATGGATTCTTTTCCTTCCGCTTATACTTTTCATTGCTGGTAATACATTATGCATAGTACTCGTGCGACTGCTTGGCTATCCATCTCATGCTGTTGAACATCAGCGTTAGATAATTCGTGCTTGTATTAAAGCTTACAATGTAATAGTGTAAAATAATTACCATATCCATGTACCGGTTGTTCAAATTGTAATATCATATAAATTTGTTTTTCGCTTAAATTTCACTTTCAGTTGGTGCCCATTGCTGTTGTAAAAAGTTTTGTGACTGTACAATTTCCAACAATTGTTTGATAAAATCATATGCTATCCAATGATTTCGTTCATTTACCTAGGTCCATTCTCGCCTTTTTCTCAAACAAAATTTATTTGTAGGCACATTGTCTGGCTCTTCAAGCAAATGGTTGGTACCCATTGCGCGCTCACTCATATCTACTAGTATCCCAAGTTAACATCTTCGTTCGTGTGTTATCAATAGTGGTTTCCACTTGCCCCCTCATAACTCAAATTTGTGGCCTCTCAATTTCATCTTATCAACAAGACCGCGGTTCATTGTCAATCGTAAACATTATCTTAAAGCAAATTAGGTGCTTTTTCATTTCTTAAACCAATTATTGTTCAAAAACATGGGTCAATTTTGAACAAGCAATGATATTGAAATTCTAGAGCTTTTATTTTACTTGAGCTCAGTGGACTGCACAACTTCGAAAAGTGAAGGATTGACCACAAAGCTATGTGCAATCTTTCGAAACTTGAGATCACAGACTGTCAAAAGTTGAGAGATAAATGGATTGAGATTTATCTCAACACCACAGGAAATTATCACTGTTGACATGTCAAATGATTTTATTGAGAGAACTAAGACGTTGTAGATTTTTTTTTCCATGTCCACCATGTAGCTACAATTTCTCTTCAATAAGACTCACCAAAAATCAGGTCAGCTGCAAGTCTTTCTCTTTTGTTTTCAACTATCTCTGCAATTTGGTAGTGTGAGGTGGTTCTTATCTGCATTCTGGCTTCTCGAATAAGTACTTATTGGCATTTTTCTTTATGTGTTGCAGGATACCAAACTCAACTGGCTGTTTTCCCTAATATTTCTGACCACCTAGTTTCTAACCAGCATGACTGTTTGATCATCGACCTCATGCTGTTGAACATCAAAGTTAAACTGTTCATGCTTGAATTAAAGCTTACAATTGAGGACAAATTAATTATTATGTCCACAGACTCGATGTTAAAATTGTAATATGAAGCTCATGTACAAATTTCATTAACACTTCAATTTCTCTTTAATTTAGTGTCCATTGTATTACACTATTGCATTTGCAAATTAGTTTCTACACCATATGCAAATTTTCAGCAATTGTTTAATATTGTTATGCCATGGACTAATTTTTTTCATTTCCTTTTATTGTCATTGTGATAGCAATTGGGCATCATTCTATCAACAGGGGCCTCTATCTTTTTTTTCTTTTTTTCATTTCCTTTTATTGTCATTGTGATAGCAATTGGGCGTTATTCTATCAACAAGGGCCTCTATCCTTTTTTTTTTTTGAAAGTCCAAGGGTGGAAGGAGGAAGGCTTTAGAGTCAAATTAAGGACTTTTAACTCTTATCTGATTAATGTTCCTACCATTTAAGTTGGATCTTGTAGATTCTATCGTCCTTTAATTTAAACAATTTGTTTGGATTGTAATTTTTTGTAAAAAATATTTTTACATTTTTCGTAAATATATTTTTCAATTATCTTTTTATCTTATATATATATATATCAAATCACTACCGTTTTTCTACAAAAATTTCTAAAAATAGCAATTCAAACAGAAAGTTTGCGGGCACATGGCATACAAACAGTTCTTGAAGGGCCATGTTGTAATAAACTCTGAGAAATGGTGCCATTTGTTTAGGTTTTCTCTACTTGGTTTCGTGCTTTTCATTAGTACATAGTCTGCTTTATATTTATGTTTGAACATAAATAATGGGTAAAAGATTTTCTTCATCAACTTGGAAACTGCTGCAGTCTTTTTTCAATGTGTGACATTCTCTTTTTCGGCTGCTTCCTTCTTCTTCTTTTTTTTCCTTTCTTTTCCTTTGGTTCCAGTCTGTAAAGGATTAATAGCCTGTTAGCATTGGCGATCGGCAAGATTTCAAGAAAAATATGCCCGCTTCTACAAGTATGATGTAGTTGGCATCAACAAGTTCAACATGCCCTCTTGGATGATGACAAACTTGATTTCCTTAAAGTTGAAAAGAAGAGCCCAGCAGATGTTTCAACTTGATTCTGTCAAATGTTACTGCTGTGTTCTATGAAAAAACTGAGAAGAAGTTCTACTTTCTAGGACATGCTCAACACATATGTTTATTTCTTCTGTCAAATATTACTTATGTGGTCTTCAATTTCTTTGTAATTTAGTGCTTAACCTATTATATATGCAAGAGTTTACCAACTTTTTGACAATGATCAGTGAATTCGATTGAGCTATTCGTCAGTTCTCTTTGAGGGTGGTCTTTTTATAAAATTCTACAAATTATAGCATGCACGTTAATCTCATAACTAACAGTTTCGATTCGATGTATAAAGCCTAATGAAGAGGGAAAAAAAATGGTCGGCCATTCTTTTGCATGCCATCCTTCGTATCTCTTTCTCCCTAATCTAGGCAAGGAAAAGAGATTCATCACAAATATACAGAGTATCTATGTTAATTCATAACAAGCATATATACACATAATGAAAACTACAGGCAGATTTCAAGAAAAATCAAGACATTGAAAGAACATTAAAGAAGGATCACCAAGCTGAAAAAGCTACAGATACTGGTCTCTCTTGTCAACCTCTTTCAGCAACTCCATAAGGAGACATGCTAAGAACATAGTTTTACCTATTCTTGTCCATAGGTAATTCACATAACTACATCGATACTACCAAACTATAAGATTCACATAGCTGAGATAACAATCTCATGATTGCACAGTGATTCATGTAGCTGAGATCCATGAAGAAGCAAAATTCATAACTCGGTGATTTTCCTGCAGAGAACAAGATGAGAAAAAACATAAAGTGAAAAAATCGAATCGGATACCTATCTGTGCTGAATATTTTGAAGTTGGAAAGTGACATATGCCCATATCACATTTTCTAAACCTCCTCACAAATGGCTAATCTGGGTCATTTTACACTAGCTAATGACTAAACTCCAACGCTAGACAGGCTTAAGAGGAGGAACTGCCCATATTGGAAAGAAATGAAGATGAAGAGAGTAACCTTGCACAAGACATGTTCTCTATGTCACTCGTCAAGTAGGGTTTCTGACCTCACAAATGCAACTTCTCTTTTTTGAGATTTTGGATCTTGGTTTGAATTTTCTAAAATAGTTGCAGGATCAGAAATTGTAGCATTCAATTTCTTTTTTATCTGCCTGGATTTTCTGTTAGTCCAATACAATTTTTCTTCCATAAATGGGATTAATGACACAGAAGAGCCCTTTTAGCAGATAGGATTGACATAGAAGTCAATCATTGTCTCATGTCTCTCCAATTCAGCTTCCTAAACTCTGCCCTTTTGTTTAATGTTCATCTCAAATCTGAATGCTCTTTCCTTTCTTTTTTTTTTATGGCAATATCTTCTATACCATGACTCGATTTCATCCCCTACGGCTTTTCATTTCTGATGCTACAATGACTATGGTGAAATATGATATCAGCGGTAATATATTGGTAAGACATCCTTTTTGGTTAATTTAGTTAATGCCGAACATGCTTGAGATGAATTGTTTCTATTGAATACAAAGGATCGCTATTATTTTATCTCATATCATGCAACAACAATTAGTAAATGCTGATGAGGAATGCACTTTGCTAGGATGTGATAGAGCATAATGACATGAGATTCAAAGCTATGGCATACCAAGAATGCAGCATAGTCTAACAGGGAATTTCTGGTCAGAATATTGGAAAGTTCACAATTTGGAAGTTGATTGTCTCCATGGGATCTAAAATGGACCTAATGGTTACATAGATCCAGGGACTAGTGTAAACATATATGCACATCACCAAATAAGGCTACATTTCTGTTCCTCTACCATACACGAATCATCTGATATATTTAATTGGTTCACTTCTCTGATCGTGCTTGTCTTTCGAAAACTTGAACATGCTTTCCTATTTTACTTGCAGAGGTTGCAATCAAAATATTCTTCCAATACATCTAGATACAACTACTTGTACAGCATAGTATAATCAGAAGTTGAAACAAAATCTGCCAAGGCTTCATCCAGTTGTACCAATGGCCTTCTTTGGTTGACAAGGTTCTTGCTAGTATTTCCAGACGCTTATTATATACATATTGCATTCTGTTCCGAACTTGCAAAGCCATTTAACAAATTCTAGACAACTGTTGCAACTAATAATGAAGGATTAGGGACAAGCAGTCTTGTCTCACTTATAATTAAAAAAACAACTTTTGGATTAAATGGAAAAAGCAGGTCGAGCATATTAGTTGTTTTGAGTAACAGGAGGAGAGTAGAAAGAGCAAAGTGTTAGGCATCCATATCTCTTTCTATAGCTTTTTTTCAAACTAAGTAGAAGAAAGAATGAACCACATGGTTGTAATCAATCTCAGCATCGATTATGGTTCGTAAGTCTTCAAAGAAACCTGCATCTGCCGCTTCTGCAATTGTGTTACCATTTATTTCATTCTTGTCAATGTCTGTTTTAATATGTAGCAATTTTTATTCTGTTACAGAGCAATGGATTTCATAGTAGAGCTCTTTCAAAATCTAGCACAGCATCAAGATTGGTCAACTGCACAAGCTTGCAATGATTCCTACAGCAAGACCTTGAAAAAATGGCATGGCTAGCTGGCTAGTTCAAGTTTTACGGTAGCTCTGAAGCTTGTTCCAGATAGGAAAAAGTTCATGGAGGTGCTAGGAAACTCAGAGAACATCTACAATGATATGAAAAATTTTTGCGCAACTTTTTCACCAATTCTTAGAGAGATACATAGGTTTCTGGTAAAGAGAACTTTCAATCTTCTGGAACCCTTTGCTTTGAAATTAATACTTTACTAGCTGCGACTGAAAAGTTTACAAATTGGAATTGCCAAGTGAAAGCTGTAAGTATAAACATAATCCTAGTGGCGGAGCCAGGACTCGTACATCGCGGATGAAATAGTGGCAGTACAATATTTTTTAATGTGTAATTTTGAAAATAATGAATTGCGAATTAATTTTTTTCCTTTCTTTGGCTTAATGACTCAATATCTATTAGCAATTTAATCCAAAATATGATAAGTCAAAATTTTCTAACAACAAGTTCTTCGTTACGATAGTACGAAAATCCACAAAACATAGTACGAAAATCATGTACCGAGTATTGAATTAAAATGTGTGTTAGTATATTAAATTTGCATTGTAACTTCCAGTTCTATATTCTTTTTCTTATCACCCTATATAAGGAAAGGAATCTATCAATATGAACATATTGCAAAATTTTACTTTACCAAATGAAATAGCCAATTAATTACAAATGTTAATCATAATACATGTTTAATAGTGGGATATCTTTGGAGATAATACACAAAATTTTAAGAAAATAATATATAATATAAAGCATTTAAAAGGAAACTAAATTTTGAATATCAACAAATTTAACATTATTCTAAAATATTTAGAGAAATTAATATTTTTTTCAAGGCAAAATTTAAGTTGGGGAACCAAGAAAGGAAGAAGCAAATTCCATTCGAGATATACCCACATATTAGTTTGAGATTTGGCAACTCCTTGCCTTGTGTAAAGGGAGTTAGAAGGCTGTAAAAGTGTGATCCTCTTTATACCAACAATAGGTACTTTGCCATGCTCAAGGATGTATGTAATCATCCTTAAGATCATATCAAAATACAGATGTATCTACCTAAGCTAAAATGAAGTCCAAAAGGGTACTTGTGATTCTGCACAAGTCTCCCTTGCTCCTTTTTAATCTCTGAAATTGATCTGAACTCACTTTTACCTTTCTAAAATCGGTGCATGCGAGTTTCTTTATGACAAAAATTTGAAACATATCAAATTTCATCATGATTGGACAGTATGAAATCTTTGTAAAATCGGAACCTATCATCATCATATGATTTGCTTCTCTGATGGCAATGCAGCTTTATTTTTCTTGCTTCATTATCATGTCTACACTCTTCTTATTTTTTCCTTTCTTTCCTTCTCTGATGGCAATGCAGCCTTAATTCTCTTGCTTCGTTCTCATGTCTACACTTTTCTTACTTTTTTCCTGTCTTCTGTCCTTCTCATGGTACTTCATATGGTTTCTTGTTTAGACAATTCCAACCTTCTGAAGCTTGTATTTTTGGGTTAATATATAATTTATCATTGGTAGGATTCTTGCTCTTCGTCTTGTTCCTCGAGTATACTCATTTCACACGCTACTTGTACTTCTGCCTGCTAAGCAGATGCTTGTCTTTTGCCTCAATATTTCTTTTACCTGCCATATTACAACTTCGAAATGCAACTATTCAAGGCACAAGTTGCTTTTCTAGCTACATTTACATTTAAGGAAAACAAAAGGAAAAAGCAAAAATTTTTTTCTTTCTGTAAACTATATCAACATCCAAAGAAATTTAATGCCTTGGTTATGACTATGGTTCGCCATCATTGGTCGCAATCACATCACAGTCGCGGTTGTTCTACATCTGTTGCTGCATATCAATTAAATATCGGGTGGTACGCAATTTAGAGCATATAAAGCTTTTTAAAAAAATTACTGAAAATAAAAAATACTATAACCAATACAACTACCAAATTAAATTTGATAAAACCTATGTTAACATAAATACTAGGTAAGTATTTAAAAAAAGGGATGTTGCTCTAATTATTGATTTATAGTATTAAAAGCAAATATTTTTTTATTGATTTTGTAAATAAGGGTCAAAGTTATTGATTTTGTAAATATAGGGAGAAATTTGCTATTGATTCATAATTACGGGGGGTACTTTGTAATTAAGCCTAAAACCAATCCCCGTATAAAAATATCTGGTCTTCCTTTACTTTTCCATTCGAAAAAAGGTTCTTATCTTCTCCAATTGATCCGCATCTCTTCTTTTCTTACACCTCCAACTCTTACTTTTCCATCCATTTACTATCCTCCTCCATTTACTGTGTGGCCCAACTTGTCAAAATGCTCCTGTGAACCAGTTGAATCTTAAGTGACAAAATGCAAACAATCCTCATATGTATGATAATAGGTATGCTCGCTTGTGCTAGATACGTTGATTAAATTGCTTTATTTACTTTGTTAATTACCATGTCAAATTTTTTTTTGTAGTAGTTTTTCTTAATCTTCCTTGATTTGATAGTGTTCATTGTATCCAATATACACGAAAAGATGAAAATTCCTGAGGCTAAGCTCTGTGCCTTGGCCCAACACCAGTTATTCATGATTGCACAACTACAGAAGTACAAGTAGTCTGTGAACTTCAATCTTATGCATGCATATTGATTCCAAGGAAAAAGGATATTTTGATTTCACGTGATCTTTTTACACAGAAAAATTTATGAATTTGTAGAATTTCTAGAGAAGTCTGGGCAGTGCAAATACTATCTGCTAGCAATAACATGGCCAAATCTATTATTTCTATTGCCATAGAAAGTCTCTGGGCTTTGTTAAAAGAATAAGCAAAGCTGTTATCTGGAGAAAGTGATCAAATCAATGAAGTTTGCATAGAGTTCAGGAGGATGCAATGTTTTCTTCAAGATGCTGAGGCAAGGCAACACAAAGAACAAGCTGTGCGAAATTGGATACGAGAAATTAGAAGTCTTGCTTATAGAGCTGAGGATGTGATTGAGACATATGTTGTTGAAGTTTCATCCAGAAGAGGAAGGGGATTCAAAAAAAGCTTGCAAAAGATTTGCTTGCATGTTGACAGAAACAAGAGCATTGCAGAAAATTGGTACTAAGATTGGAAATATCAAAGCTGAAATAGCTGGTATGGCATCAAGTATGCAAACTTATGGTATAAAAGCAGTCAGTCAAGGAAAAAGCTCTAGTAATGTTGCAACTCATGAAAAAGAGCAATGGCTACAAATGACCTATGCTCACCAGGTTGAAAAAACATTTGTAGGGATGAATGATGATATTGAGAAATTGAAATACCTCATAGTGGATGAGCATACGCACCATAGAGTTGTTTCGATCTGGGGCATAGGGGGTTCTGGGAAGACCACTGTTGCAAGAAAAATTTACAACCATGATGGGATTCGGCGCCAATTTGATGCCTTTGCGTGGGTGTGTATAACTCAGCAATGCCAAGTTAGAAAAGTTTTGGAGGAAAACTTGCAATAGCTATACCATGGTTGATGGGGAATTGATGGTGGAGCTGTATAAAGAACAAAAGGAGAAGAAATGCTTGGTTGTTCTGGATGACATTTGGAATACAATTAATTGGAATTGCCTCAAACCAGCCTTCCCATTGATCAAGGAATCTCGGAGTAAGATTTTGCTTACAACTCGTAACCTTGAAGTAGCTCAAGTTGGACGGGTTCACGAACTCAGTGTTTTGAATAGCAACGAAGCTTGGGAGCTACTTCGGAAGAAGGCCTTGATATTTGACGATGTGAACCCTCAAGGTTAGCATATTTTTGCTTGTTTGTTTTGCCAAAAGTGTGTCCTCGCCACATTTTATTTGACATCTCTCTAAATGGTAAAAACATTCATTTAACTTGCATTTGAAACATAATCTTTGTTTTACCATATAACGTTGAAAGCTTTTGCAGCATACTTCGACTTATGGTAACAATTTCATTAATCTAACTGAGGCATGTTGCCAATAGCCTGTAGATTAACATCACGTAAACCAAATGAAAACATAAGATTTGTCCTCTTTTCAGCTTGAAATGAATATTGTATGCTTATCCAAAGATTCAGATTATTGTACTTCACATTTGGAATTATAACATCTATTCAAAAAATGCAGATTATTAGGTACAAGAAGATTCACTGCTCTAAAATAATACAATTTTTCTATTCAGTTACTTTATAATACAAGTTAATGTTCTTAGTGAAGCTCAATAGTATGTGTAAGTCATATCATGATTGATATGCAAGTTGATGTGTAAAAACTTATACAAAACAAAAGGCATATCCCTTCTATTTTAGCATTATTTTGGTTTTTACAGTTTTTTCATCACTTCGTAGCAGACAAATTAAATGGTAAAAATATTTCATCGTGGATTTAGTTTTTGAAGATTAACAAATTCTTCAACTTAAAATTTTTGGGTTTTGTTAGCTTTTAGTTATTGTATTAGAAGTCTGAACAAGTGAAAAGACATTTAAAATGTAGACTGTGCATATTCCATTATATGGATTGTAACTGAGGAGAAGTGATGTTTTGTGTACTAAAGCAAAAAATCATTTAATTGTGCATCACTAAAAGATTTGACTATGCAACTAAATTATGCAGATTCTAGAACTGAAGTTGAAAGAGAGAAGATAGGAAGGGAAATGGTGCAGAAGTGCGGCTATCTACTATTAGCAATATTAGTCATTGGGGGGATCTTGAGCAAAAAGGCATATTTAGATGAATGGACAGTAGTGAATAAAGACATTGACTCTTATTTGGGAAAAGAAGGCTCTGATGGTAATAACGACATTTGACTTTGAGTTATGATGTCTTACCATACCACTTAAAGCAATGTTTTCTTTCCTTTGGCCATTTCCCAGAGGATCTAAAGATAGATGCAGTTGACATTTATTTCACATGGTTGGCTAAAGGAATAATTTTGCCGAAGAAACAATTTGGAAGAGAAGAGACTGCAAGGGTAGTTGTAGAACAATATTTGACTGAGTTGGTAAGTAGGTCCATGGTTATTGTTGAACTCGATGAGTTTGCTGCACCAGGATTATTGAAGTACAAGCATTGCTATCTTCATGACCTTATGAGAGAACTATGCTTAATGAAGTGCTCAGAAGAAAACTATGTCAAGGTTGTGGATTTTCAGGGTGGAAGGGAACCGGTGTTAGAACGTTTTTCTGTTATTATGGATGACATTACCACTTTCAACACATATAGACTGGCTATCCATACAGATGGAAACTTTAAAGGTGACGCTATAGGAAAAATTACAGAACGACTCTCACCACGACTACGTTCCATTACTTTTACCGATATGAGTCAAGATGAAAATTTTTCAGTAGATATGGCATGGACATCCTCTGAAATATTCAACAGGTTTAAATGTCTTCGAATTCTAGGCTTTGACTGGTACACTTTTGTGAACAAGAAGTCAATAGAATTTGTAGGAAAGTTGATTCACCTAAGGTCTATATGTTTCAACAGTTGTAAGGATGAGTTGCCATTACAAGTACTAAACTTGCCCTTTTTACAGAGCCTAAATTTTGAAGGGTCTGTCTGGACGAATCCTACTAAAATACCAAAACTAGATGTAGTGTGGAAAGCAAAAAGATTGAGGCATCTCCTCTTTCCTGGTAATAGTGTGAAAATGGTTGATCAAGAAAAATTTAGATTATGTGGATTAGTTCAGCTGGAGGTAATAACTGATTCGACACAAAACAATGGAAGTTGTAGATCTTGTTGAACTAAGTAATATTCAACAGTTTTCTGCAACAATTTAAGGCAATGAGAGCCTTTCCTTAATCCTCAATTGCATCGAGGTCAATTCGCCCAACATAGGGCATGTGTTGCTTACTATATACAACTGTAATTTTACTGAAAATGAAAGTGGGACCAACTCTAATCTTGTAAGGAAGGTTTTCAACTGTCACCACCTTATGGAGTTGATGATTGAAGGGAGCCTAGGCAACAAATTACCTAGATACGAAATAAATTTGGCTTCGAGTCTGAGACGTTTGGCACTGTCTGGATCTGAGATCATAGAAGACCCCATGGAAATTTTGGGGAAGCTCCCCAACTTAAGAAAACTTCAACTGCTGATGAATTCCTTTATGGGCAAAGAAATGGTTTGCCACAACATGAGGTTTCCTAGTCTCACTAACCTTTCCCTCAAAGGACTGCACAATTTAGAGAAGTGGAGGATTGATGAAGGAGCTATGTGCAATCTTATGGAACTTGAGATTAGGAATTGTAAAACGTTGCATATGACTCCAATTGGATTGAGATTCATCTCAACAGTCAAGGAACTTAGTACCGTTGACATGCCTGCTGAATTTATAGAAAAATTGCTATAGTTGATGGTCAAACAGGAGTAGATTATGACATTGTCTCCCGTTTGGAAAAAATCCATCTTGGATAAGAATAACCAAACATCAGGTCAGCTGCATTTCTCCTTTTTTTTTGGGTTGTCTTTTGGTGTCTTCGCAGCATGACTATCTGTACATATACATGGTTTTACTCACAACTTTCCTCTCCAGGATTGATACATTTGTCAACACTAGTAATAGTTCATATGCTTTGCACGTGATTATAATATCTTAGAATATATTATTTTCAAATACTAAAATTTTTTATGAAATTTTGATCATCAACATCATAATATAGTATTGTTATATTATTTATCTTTTTAAGCTAGTTACTTTTAAAAATTTTATTAAATAAAAAGAGACAGAAAACATTTCAATATAGTTGACATATCCCTTAAGATTAAATTTGAAATCATGAACCAAACACTTTTTGATTTATAGCTTGAACTCTAACATATCAAATATTGATAATATCATGTTTTACCAAAATTATTGTATATTCATAACTCTATTACATATAAACTACAATCATCACAATTTTTTATAAACGAAGAATATAGTTAAGTTAGAAAAATAAACATAAATGTAATTTGAATTCTTTGTATTATGTTAATTCTAATTTTGTCAATAATGGAGTATAAATGATCCATCACGTAAAATTTTTTTGACTTGTACATCCTAACAATTGAAATTTTATAGATAGAGATAGTTGGAGTTTTTCTATTTTCCTTTTCTTTTATTCATGTTTTTAGCACAATCCAATGCAAAGCAAGAGCAACAAGTCTACTTTTTTCATGTGAGCACAATATTTTTGGTTTTAATATTAGTTTTTTTTATGATCATGAAATTGGAATGAGAATTGTGGCTAATTAATAATTTTAACATTAGTTTTTTGTATATTGCAGTGTTTTAGTTTTTAATTGCCAACTTTGAATCCATAACTGCTATCATTATTATCAATTATTGGAATGCATTAAATCTGTTTAATTACAATTGTCATCATAAATGAAATTTACTTAATTTTAAAGCTTTTCATTTCAAAACCGCTTCTATTATTCACTAATATTGCAATACAATAAATATATGTAATCATTAGAAAAATAAGGGTATTTTGGATACCACCAAAAACAATTTGGATATCATTTTCATTTTATCATTCTTCATTTTATATTTACTCTTATTATAATTCTTATTTTATCATTGGAGATGGTTTCTGATTTGATGGATGGATTTGGTTTGTTCAAACCAATACAAATGAAGTATTACTATATTATTGTCAATAACAATGTTTGTCTTCCCTTGGATATCAATGATTTAGATGTTGTCTTTGGTATTATTTGAATTGTATTCTAACTTTTTAATTCATTTGCTATTTACTTTATGTCATTTTATAAATAGTTTTCAATCTTATTTTAGTTTTTCTTGTTTTGATCGGTTGCTATTAATGATAATAGTGATTTGTATGGTGCTGTTTTAGATTTTCATTTTCTAGTTTAATACTGCTATTTTAGTTATAACGGTATCATCATTTTTTGTATAGTGAAATTGTATAGGGTGCAACATGAAAAATTCTTCATACTGGTAAAAATGTATAATTGTAAAATTTACTCGTGATATTTGTGTGAAGATATACAGATGAATAAGGGTTTTTCTTATCATTGTATGTTTCTCCATTTTCTAGAGAATATCTATTTTTTGATATTGATTTTTTTTTAACAATCTCAACTAATGACTAATGAGAAACTTTTCATGCTTCATTTAAGAAATTTTGATACGTATAATAATAGGAGATGGAGCCCAAGGGTAGGTAAATAGTTTTTTATGAGGAATTTTTAATTATAATTACCAATACCATTAAAATGTAATCAATTGGAGTGTTTTATTTATTTTAATTAGTGCCACTTAAAATGCAATAATTCTAGTTAAAAGACATGAGGGTAATTTAGGAATAACAAAAGCTAAGATAAAAAAGTGCTTACACTTGCACTCCCTAATACCAACATTCATACTTTTTATTGTATGCTTCTCCATTTTCTAGAGAATATCTATTTTTTGAAATTGATTTTTTTTAACAATCTCAACTAATGACTAATGAAAAATTTTTCATGCTTCAATTAAGAAATTTTGATACGTATAATAATAGGAGATGGAGTCCAATGGTAGATAAATAGTTTTTAATGAGGAATTTTTAATTATAATTACCAATACCATTAAAATGTAATCAATTGGAGTGTTTTATTTCTTTTAATTAGTGCTACTTAAAATGAAATAATTCTAATTAAAAGACATGAGGGTAATTTAGAAATAACAAAATTTAAGATAAAAAAGTGCTTACACTTGCACTCCTTAATACCAACATTCATACTTTTTATATAGTAATGATAATGATTAGGTTGCATAAATATGATATTCAGTAGATCATCCGGTTTTGTTTAAACTATTACAGCTTAATTTGCAGATAGGATCATTGTCAGATGATCATATTTTTTCTGTATTATTCGGACTCGTAACTTCTATTGTTTCTTTAATTTACTCTTCGTGTAATTTTTTCTGGTCTGCAGAAGATGCTGCAGGCATGCTAATGACCATCCAAGTACAAGGTAACGAATATATGCTTTATTTGTGAATTTGTTAGCACCGGGTGATTTTATTTATGTGCATTCTAGGTAAGTGAATGAATATTAATTGGCATTTTCCTTTATGAATTGCAGGATACCCAATTGGTTTCCTTCAGAATTTCTAACAAGCAAGCATCTGTGAATTCTTTTCCTTCTGCTTATACTTTTCCTTGCTGGTTATACATTATGCATGGTACTCATGCGACTGCTTGGCTATCCATCTCATGCTGTTGAACATCAGAGTTAGATAATTCGTGCTTACAATGTAATAGTGTAAAATAATTACCATTTCCATGTACTAGTTGTTAAAATTGTAACATCATACAAATTTGCTTTTGGCTTATATTTCATTTTCAGTTGGTGCCCATTGCTGTTGTAAAAAGTTTCGAGACTGTACAATTTCCGGCAATTGTTCAATCAAATCATATGATGTCCAGTGATTTCGCTCATTTACCTATGTCCATTCTCGCCCTTTTCTCAAAGAAAATTTATTTGCAGGATAGATAGAAGTTCCTAAATTTCGGGTAATTAACCTACATCTGCTTTATGGTATGCCCAGAACATTTTGTTCATCGATCAGCCCTGTAGTTCATAATTCAACATGCTTTATGATCCTAACCATCATTGATCGCTTTTACACATTGGAATTGCCAAGTGAAAGCTGCAACTATAAACTATAAACACATTGGACGAAATAGTGGCAGTAAATTAAAAAAATTTTTTAATGAGTATAATTTTGAAAATAATGAATTGCGAATTAATTTTGTTTCCATTTCTTTGGCTTAATCCCTCAATATCCGCTAGCAATTTAATCCAAAATATAATAAGCCAAAGTTGTCTAACAACAAATTTTTCGTTACAAAGATAATTTTAAGAAAACACCCATAAAATCAAATCCACAAAATATAGTGCGAAAATCATGTACCGAGTATTGAATTAAAATATGCATTAGTATGTTAAATTTGCATTGTAACCTACGATTCAATATTCTCTTTCTTATCACCCTACATAAGGAAAAGTATCTATCAATATGAACATACTGCAAATTTGACTTTACCAAATGAAATAGCCAATAAATTACAAATGTTAATCATAATACATGTTTAATAGTGGGATATCCTTGGAGATAATACACGAAATTCTAAGAAGATAATATATAATATAAAGCATTTAAAAGGAAACTAAATTTTGAATATCAACAAATTTAATAATATTCTAAAAATATTTAGAGAAATTAATATTTTTTCCAAGGCAAAATTTAAGTTGGGAGACCAAGGAAGGAAGAAGCAAATTCCATTCAAAATTTACCCACATATTAGCTTGAGATTTGGCAACTCCTTGCCTTGTCTAAATGGAGTTGGAAGGCTATAAAGTGTGATCCTCTTTATACCAACGATAGGTTAGTCATTTCACACACCGACTTGCACTTCTAGCTGTTAAGCAGATGCTTGCCTTTTGCTTCAATATTTCTTTTAACTGCGCCATCTTACTACTTAGAAATGCGAGGCACAAGTTCATTTTTTCACTACATTTACGTTAAAAAAAAAAGAAGAAGAAAGAAAAAGCAAAACGTCTTCTCTTACAGTAAACTATATCAACTTCCAAACAAATTTAATGCTTTGGTTGCATGGTGAAGTTTGGTACATATCGTCAATCTTTAACTACCAAAAAAAAAAAAAAAGGGGGCCACAGAATTTAATTTTTAAAAGCTGGATTAATAAATAATCAGGTAAAATACATAAAACCCCCCTGTGGTTTACCTATTTTACATAAAACTTCCTTATTATTAAAAACCAACACATAACCTCCCTATACTTTGGACTTCTTTGGATAATGGACATAAATCATCCAAATTGACGGAAAGATGTAAATTTCCTATATTAACCCTATTTCCAAACTAAATCAAAGGTTAACTTAGGGCTCAATTAAAGTTTTAAAAACTTTATTCCTACATTTGAAACAAAGGTAGAATTAAGGGGCTCATTTGAAATTTTATAAGAAGTATCATCTTCTTCAAGGAAATGTCAGAATGTTCTGGGCTTTTATTTCTTCCTTTTTTCCAGAACATTTTTCTGTTTTTCCTTTCCCCTTTGATTTTCCTTTCTTTTTCTTGCCCCATCAATCCAGCCAACACCACCCTTTCATTGTTGCCATCATCTCGCTATCACCATCTCGCCATCTTCATTTTCAACAGCATCTCTATCACTGCCGATCTAGACACATGACTTTTTCATGTGTTCTTCTGTAAAATTAAGAACCCAAATCTAAGCAGCAACTTTTTTTGGAGACTTGGATTCCTTAGACTCTTTCTCCTCTGAATCATTAGTTTCTTAGGCAACAAAACCAACTCTTTCATTTGTATCTTTATCA